CTGCGAAGGCTGGATGACTTAGAGTTGCAGAGATTGATTCCTACAAGATATTCCGCTGATACTGCCGATGGGTCTCCTCCAAAGAAAGAGCTATAGGCGTTAGAGGATCTCCACCGCCACCATGCTAAAGTCAGTGTCCCAGTTGACAACGTTAAGGCTGTGCAAGTCAGGATTATGATGTGCCAGGAGAGCCTACCATAGCGCGAAATACAGGCTAGTGAGAAGACGGTTGGGACAAAGCCATTCATGGCCAGTGGTATTGTCAGAAGAAGATCGTACACGCGCTGGACTGTTGTTGGGCCATCGCGAACATTTGCGCTCGCGTCATATATCACCGATGCAATTTGTATTGCGCAGATGAAGTAGCACTGGTGTTTCTGAAATTCAACAACCGACGTGGCAATAGCAAGCGTATGTTTTCGACGCCCTCGTTCCTTCGAAGACGGCCAGGCTTCCAGGCCAACTAGGGCGATGAAAGATGCAATCGATAGACCTATCTGGATAAGGAGAGACAGATACACCTGCATCCGTTTAGCGTGTTGCAGCTCGGTCCAGGCCGCAGTATGATATACCCCAATACCGCCAAGTTCAGGGTCTACAACCTTTGGCGAGCACAAAGACTTAATACAGCTTCTGACCGTCATGCCTGGCTGATCAAAGTTGCTGTGATGCTCCATTGGCGAACTCTCCTGATATGCGGTGAATAGCCCCTGCTCAGTGCATGCGAAGGAAGAATAATCGTTTTGCGTGTATGAGCCACCTTTCAGCGCAGAATATACGGATGCTATTGCCGTAGTGACACTGACTCTTACGTTCTTGACGTACAAAGTATCATTGTATTGGAGACCCCAGCGTGTATACGCTTTGAGATCGCCTAAGTAACGACCAAGTTGCTCTGAATATGTGGCTTGATATCGATAATCCACATGGTACTCCCATAAGCTTGCTAAGGAAGCCCAAAGTCCACAAAGAGCAAGGTTGTGAAGCGATGCGTCCTTTAATAATTGTGTAGAATCGTCGCATATTGTTGAGCAATTATATGTCGATAGCAGGTAAGCACTGACATTTGCTAGATTGCAGCCAAAGTTGTTTCCAAGACTGTCACTATTCAAATTTTCCCAGTCTTCAATCGTGAAGCTTGAATTGGGCGAGGGATTGACAACCATGATGTGAGATGAAAGACTCGAAATGAAGTCGTTCAGATTCTCCGTCCAGCTTCTTGGGCGCCAGATGAAGAGGGAATCATGGTCTTTCACTGGTTTCGAGCACAAGCTGATGCTTCATGCAATATATCGATGCAGGCCCTCTACGCGCCGCGAGAGGCTGTTCGATGACCACGCCCGGTCATATAATGCAGTGGAACGCCCTCTCAATTATTTGTCTCTACCGTATGGTTTGATATTTGTGGAGTCACACCGCGCGTCTTCTCGGTAACGTCTTGTCATTTGAACCCAAGATCGAGGCGCGGTGCAGTTCGACTTTGCGCAGCCCATATGATTCACAACGATCCAGTGTCGATCGCCATTTTCGATTTGCAAAACGTTTTCCTGGCCTTCTCTTCTGACCAAAGCTTTTGACAGTACTATGTCCGATTTCGAGGGTCTTTATCTCCGCCACCAATTCATTCCATTTTCTCTTTCGAGGTGAAACATTGCACACAGCTCTTTGCCCGAAGCATGCTGCATGTGCCGTCAGCCTGCAGAATGTAGACGCGAACGCCGCGATTTTGATTCACATACGCGTAATTGCGCCACGCTGATATGCAGCGGATTTGGAAAAAGGTATATGATCGACGGGGATCTTCCAAACGGAATCTGCAACGCCTTCGCCAGGCAGGATTCAACAGCAACTGAGCCCCACTTTCAAAGCGCGCACTCTCATTCATTGATCTATCGTTACTTTTGAATAGTGAATCTCGTCAAGGGCTTCTTGAAGACATGTCGTACTCCTGTCCTAAGTTGATGCCTCGAAAAGGGGTCTAAACTTTGTGCCGTTCGTATTCGGATATATGCTCGACTTGATTGGAATCATAAAGTTTTCGAGAGGCTTCAAGATTTATTTCGCACGACATGACAATTTAGCCTTACAATTATATTTTCGAAGAGTTGTGCAGGATTTGCTTGCTAGGTGTGCCCTTGACTTCACAGGAGATGTGAACCATCTTCGTGGTCAAGGTGTTGGAAGACTGTTCCTAGAGGCTAGAGATGTATTTATGAGGCGTAAACATGGTGGATATCTGTACTTGGCACCTTTCTCGCTTCCTCCTATTGGCAACATCAGTAAGTGATAAGTCTCAAACCTAGCTTTACTTCAGATACTCACTGAACTCAATGTACACAAACTCCACGAGAGAATTTGCCCATACCATCACAGCTACTATCTGACCAAACGTCCACTTGGTTGGGACAAGGCGGTGGTGGTGGAAAAGGATATAAAGATAGAATTGAAACATAAAGCACAAAGTCCATGCAGCCGCGAAGCTAAGCATGAGCAAGCCTTTTAGTATTCGTTGGAGCAGAGGATTGTTTATTCCGATGACGTGCAGCAACTTCTTCCCAGTCTGAAGAATATAGTCTTGCTGAAACTTCTGCAGGTGTTGGTAGCGGGAAGTTGCGATGCAGATGAATATCCACGCAAAGCAGTGACAGTATACCAACCAAGCGATCGAGAAGTGAGTGTTTGTCATGGGAAGGCTATTAGTGCCCGATGATATAGCCTGGCAGAGACTTTGCCCAAGCTCTTGATGGGATTCTCCATGATCCGAGAAAACACCGGATCCATTGTCAGAAGCCCGTATGTAACGCCAATGATTCCAGGCTTTTTGAAGTGTCATAGTCGAAGGAATCATCGTCAATCCGCTCAAAATGATTAGATACCAAGAGAGCTGGCCATATCTAGCGATACATATCAGTGTGTACATGATCGGGACAACCCCATTCATGGCCAAAGGCAGTGTCAAAAGTCGGTCGTACGTAGTCCGGACAAAAAGGGCTGCGATCTCTATTGCGATGATGAAATAGCATTGATGCTTTTGGAATTCGACAAGAGCAGTCGCTATGGCAAGGCTATGCTTTTCATTCCCTCTTTTCCTTCGTAAGGGCCCGTACTCGAGGATTGCGAGTGCGGTGAAGGAAACAAGGGAGATGATCATCTGTGATAACAAAGATAGATAGACCTGCTGATTATCAGTGAATGCCTCATCATTGTAGCAGCGCTTACACCTATGCCCCCTAGCTCTGGATCTACAATCTTCGGTGAGCACATCGTTTCCATACAGCGCTTCACCCTTGAAGTCGGCGAGTCGAAGTAGTCTGCAAGAGCAGCTCCTGAAGAATCATAGAAAGAGAACAGCCCCTCTTCTGTACAATCGAATGGTACGTAATTTTTCTCTGTGTACGAGCCGGTCTTTAAGGATGATTGCGTGATTGCTAGTGTCCTAGTGATAGCTTCTCTTGCCCTTGCTACATAATATGAATTGTGGGCGTCCAAATTCCAGTGACTGGACTGCTGTAAGAACCTTCCGAACCTCTCCTGGCGATCGTATGTCTGTGTTTCGTATACGTAGTTCCATTCTCGCTGCATAAAGTCCACATCTACGCCCATGGATTGTGATAACTCAGACGACTTCGCCTCATCTTGATCACCGATTCGCTCCCAAGCCGTGGTAAGCGAGATCCATAAGCCGCAGATAGCTATGTTGTTGAGTGTCGCATCACCCAAAAGCTGGATAGTATCGTTGCAAACGAAGAAGCAACCGTCTCGATCAGAAGATCCTTTGCATTCACTGTTCGCGACTGTCAATTCGAGATCGAAATTCAGCCATCGATAGATACCGAAGTCAGTGCTGCTCAACGCTGCGACTACAAACCCAAAACAAAGCGATACTTGTATGTGTAGATTAGAAGTGCTCAACACCATACTAGCAGAAGCTATCGAGATAAATAGTAATGGATCAGACTTAGCTCCTGCCGTACAATAGTATGGCTTTATGGCATGTAGAGAGGCAGCAGCCTTGAGTCACGGGCTGTCAAGATCACTCTCCTCCTATCGGATACTGCACATGTCAACGGTCTCAGACTTGCATGAACTCGGCAGTGTGCAGGTGCATGAGACTCCGCCGCAACGCCTGAAAAGATAGAGAATTCATACTGGGTCAAAATGCATATCACGAAGCGTATGTGCATCGAAACATGGTTCACCGAGCCTTTCCTGACTCATGGTCTCTCTGGAATCCCAAAAGCCACTTCTTGCTGTGTAACGTTTGGCTAGTATCATCTCGCAACCTTCTCTTGGAAGTCCTGCCGGCAACCCCAGTCAGAGTTTCAAGTTGGCTTCTCAATCAACTCATGCTCGCTGCGCTGCTGAAGCTGCTTTGCTGCGCGATACAGCAAATCTGACTTATCATCTCTTCGTACTGGATTTGCCAATTCACGGCAAATAAATACAGCAAACTGAACGGAACCTAGGCTATGACCGTTTGATGAGTATCATTGTCGGCTTTATGACGTCCAGAAAGACTTCCTTCTGACGAAAAGCTCAAAAGGCGACAGGCGAGGTTTGTCGCCCAGTGTCCTTCAGTGCAATGAAAGCTCGTCAAAGCTGGGTCATGCTTCTTCTTGGTCATCCCTTCAATCTCGGCAATGAGAAACATGTCCTTGCAGACATTCAGTGGCTGAGTATGTTATCGCTCTTGAGAACGACAATAAGACATTATACCGCGCCAATATCGGAGATATATTGATCCGGCCGAGCGACGGGCAGCAAGTGAAGCGCCTTTTCTGCTCGTTCACTACCAAACAAAAAACCAAAAGAGATCGATGAGTGAGGATGACGTGAGGGACGCTGAGGAACTCGGAAGCTCAAAATGAATCTCATGATATTATTCTTCGGCAAATGACATTACAGCAGAAGTCTTCTTCAAATGCTATCGCCCACAACTAAGGAACAAAGACACACTACCTCAGAAGCTGAAGGACCAGCCTCCCATGCTTTCCAAGCTCTCAAGATGTTGCCTCCTCATCTTCCACAATCACTTCGTCACCATTATTCATCGCCAGCACCGGCGCTTGCACAGACTGCGGTACCGCCTGAACCCTACTGTTCTGAGCTGGCGCAACGCATCCCGGACAACCCTTATACCCACCATTCAACCAACTCGCCTGCGGTCCCATCTGCCCAGGCCAACTACTACAGTCGACCTGCTGCACCGTCGCAACGTTGAGCCCAGCATTGGTCGTCGAGTTCCACCACGCCTGCGCCGCATCCGTGTCCATACACAGATCCACAACCGTATCGCTCCCCAATCCATCTTTTGACCCGTTCTCCTGATTACACTGTCTAATGGTGTTCCCATCATCCGGGTTCGTGTCTGGCGCACACGTATTTGTCACCAACACAATCAAACCGGATTGAGAGCGGGTGTCAACATCATCCGGACCTGGGCAGATGTGCGGCGGCTTCGTGTCGTAGCAGAGTTTCTTGGGGGCCGTGAGAATCCAGCAACTACCGCACACGCCGGGCTCGGGGGGCTCGTTGAAGCCGGCGGAGAAGGCAGCTTGAGGGGAGGTGCCAGAACCTAGGAAGCCGCATTTGCCGATTTTGGTGGGGTCGTTGCAGCCTCCTTTGCCGTAACCTGTGATGGTGCCTTGGTAGGCTTTGCCCATGAGTTTGACTGGGGGAATGATGCCGGGCCATTCGTAGGTGTCGCGAGGTGAGAGGTTGGGGTCAGATGAAGGAGTCGCCAAGGAGGGGAGGACGAAGTGTAAGGATAGGAGGGATAGGAGGATCATTTGAGGCATGGTGAGGGACTATGGGCTTTTCGTTGGAGCTGAGCTGAACTACTGACAGGATGCAAGTCTCGAGCCACAGGTGAATTCACTGTTAGAGAGAACGGCTCAAAAGAAACAACAGAATACTGCGACGAAGAACAGCAAGAAACCGTGCATGTCATCTGAAAAGAAGTACGAAAATCTTCCCAAAGGGCTACTTAAGTATACAACCGAATATAAGGATCAACATCTTTCAACCCTGTCATAAACGCCATGACAATTGGACATCGTCATATCGTCACATCAGCTGTCACCCCGCACTACGATATTGCGGGGTCAGATTGAGATGATCTTCATTGATGTCTCTCCTCTGCATTGACATCCTGATAGCGCGGCGTATCTACCAGGGCTAAAGAGGTCGACGACCAGGCCCTCTGAGCCACAACCCTGTGCACCTACAAGCATCACCGCTCCAGAACACACAACAAGCAGTCTCTCAAGCGCGCTCTCACGACCTCAATGAGGCCTATCGAGATACTTGGAGCGCCTACTGTATGGCACAGGCCGCCGAACAAGCATTGGGCATAAGCTTCGCTGCAGACAGGGGAAGCGTTAGAGCCGCCGGCTTGTTGCATACGAGCGTCGACAGCAACGGCGTCTATGCTTTGTCGATCATAATCTGTGAGTGAGCGGGGTTACCTGACGTTGGTGTGTGGACAAATGATTTGTGCTAGAGTCAGATACTCCCGGAAGACATCCCTTCGATCCTCTGGAAGAGTCCATGGGTGCAAAGCTTCTCCTCTGCCCTTGCAAAACTTTCTTGTCATTATCTTCGAGTATGAATCATGTATCCGCTGCTTTTGGCTAGTATGCTATGCGACAGCCAGCCGCTGCTTGAGGATCACTGTTCGCTCATAGAGTCTCCCGAAAAGGCAATCTCCTGACTTCAATTACCTCCCGACACTTAGAGCAAAGGACCAATTCATTAAATGCATAGCATTTTGGGTAGCAGAGGCTAAAGAAAGAGAACACCAATGAATTGGAGTAACAAGATATTGCCTTTGAAAAAGCTAAACAAACACAAGACGGAGACCGACCGAACCCATATAGACAAGACCTCCCACAATGCAAGACATTCATACTCTCACAATCCTTACAGGAACAAACAAATGGGCAAGATTTCCGAAGCCGGATCTGCTGCCATAGATGTGAAGAGGGGAGCCACTTCATCTCCCTAAGCCAACAGAACGCGACTCCGAAAGGCAACGCGGTATGTGAACCTGATCCTTTCATGACTGGGCATCGGGGTCGGGGTCGGGGTCGGTAGAAGGTGGGGTGGGGCCTTTTTCTGTAATATTCCTCCGGCGAACAACATTCTTCCAGCAAGAAAGAAAACGGCGGATTCACTGCCAGCGAGTCTGCTCGAAGAGAGTCCATCACTGTCGCCCCGCCCCTTTCAGGTGATGTGGTTCATATGGACATACACATCACCTCGCACACACACCCTGGCCCCGGCTGAACTTTTCGAATCCTTGTTGAACGTTCTAACATTACATACTTACATATACAATCCGCCATGCCCACCCCCACCCAACCCAATGCCTTTCCCTATATATACAAGATGAAGAAAGATGTCTTTTGCGATAAACGAACGCCTGCTTGCCTCGTCGCACATGAGCCGATCGCGATGCTTCTCCAATCCATTAATCGCATCTTCTATCACACGTTTTTTATGATTCCTCAGGCAAGGTATTGACCAAACATGACACTCTTTTTCATCGTGGCCAGTATATACACACACCTCTTCTCTCTTTTTGCTGCCACGCCACGCCCACGTAGATATCCTACAGCTCTTCATACTGATTCGCCGGCGCACTGCTGACTTCGAATTCTCTCCCCACACTGATTTTCCTAATCACGCCATTCATTAGCCTCTGCAACTCCCACCCTCACCCCCACCAAGAATCCGCAAACAAAGAAGGCGGAGAAAGAAAGGAAGAAAACTCACTGCTCCGTAACCCTCAACCCCTTCTTCTCCCTCCTCCCATCACTGTACCTGCGCCCATTATGCCCCACGCCCGGTCCAAACCTTGGACTCTGCGCCCCACCCCCGTTCCCAACCCCTTCACCGCCCAATTTCAGCGGCTCGTCCCCGCCATCACTATCCCCCGTCGCCATTCTGACTCCGAGCTCCTCGCCCAACAAATCCAGCTGGCGGATACACACGCGACAATGATGCCGACAGCGTCCCGTAAACCAGTTCTTTGCCCAAAAGTACCAGCTCCCGAACGCGCCGGCGCCGACAATGCCCACGGCCACAGGCGTATAATTCAGCGTATTGCTCGTGACAGGGTTGACGGTCGGGAGGCAGAAGACGACGGTGATGAAGATGATGTAGGCGATGGCCACGACGGCGGTGACGGTGCTGCCCCAGCGGCCCAGATAGCGGTTCAGATTGAAGGGCCCGCGCTTGAAGTTGTGCGGGTACAGGAGGGTGAGGAAGATGGGGATGCCGTAGGAGATGTAGAGGCCGATTGTGGCGATGGCGGTTGTGCCGGCGAACGCGGTGCGGGAGCCGAGCGAGGGGAGGGCGAGGAGGAAGGAGAGTGTTGCGCCGAATGCGACGGTGCGGACGGGGGATTTGAAGCGTCGGTCTATGATGTGCAGCCGGTGTGGGATGCCGCCGTCGCGGGCGAAGGCGAACATCATTCTGCTGTTGGAGCACTGCGGGGGTGGGGGTTAGTGGGTGTGGTTGATAAAGGGGGAAGGGAGGGGAAAGAGGAGGGGGGCGTACGAGGGAGAATAAGCCGCAGTGCCAGATGCAGAGCATAGCCTCCACCATGAGCACGATGCCGCCAGTCTTGCCACACGCGTCCGTAAGCACGCGCAGCATAGGGAGAGGATCGCTTCTCACGGCCTCGAAGTCGCCGATTGCGAAGAGGAGGGAGAGGAGGAGGAAGAAGCCGATGACGGCCGATGCGCCGATTGATCCAATCAAGCCGTACGGGGCATCGCGAACAGCCTTTCTCGTCTCCTCGCACAAATGCGCGGAAGCGTCGAAGCCGAGGATCGTATACTGTGTAAGGAGGAGCCCAGTGACTGCGACGTAGGCTGGACTTGCTCGGATGCTCCAGCCCACGTCGGCGTCGCTGTTCGCAGTGCCGTCGTAGAAGGTGGCGAAGACGAACTTGGCGGATTGTAGTTTTGGGGCTTTTGCGAGGATGGCGACGCAGAGGCAGAAGACGCCGGCTGTGTTGAGGGTGACGGATGTGTAGATGATGTATTTGAGGGTACGAATGCTGAGGAGATTGACGCAGACGTGCGAGAGGAGAATGACGGCGTGGATGCCGAGGGTGCCTCCTGCTGATGGTTTGTATCCGCTTGCGACGTGTGCGGTCTCGCTGATGATGGTAGCGAGACCGAAGTCAATGGCTGTGGTAACGGCTACTTGGCCCAAGAGATTGAACCAGCCTGTTATCCATGAGAAGAAAGGCGCTCTGTGTGTGGGTGAGAGCATGTATGCCCAAAAGTATGGCCCTCCGCTCGTTGGTATGCCGGAGAGAATCTCAGCCATGGAGGCACCGACGACGAGCGTGAAAAATGAACCGACGATCCAGCCAATTGTCATGACGGCTGGCCCACCGGTGAGGAGGCCATAGCCGAATTGTTGACCAATACCGGTGGTGACTGAGATGATGGAGAAAGAAGCACCGAAGTTGTGTATGAGACTCCATTCTCTTCGTAATTCCTGTGTATAGCCGAGTTCTGCAAGACGACCTTCGTCTTGGATCTTAAAGTTGACCTCAGAGGAGGACGATGTGGTGGGTTCTACCATTGTGGGCGTTCCGTGTATTTGATTCCAGCTCATTCTAATTGATCCTGCCTGAGCGACCCTCTGCCTCTTTCACCGTAGGCAAGTGCGCCTGTAGGTCTTAATGTCTTGACCTCGGTCTTCTAAGACGAGGCACACGGGTCGCCTAGTGGTTTGCGAAGCTACCTTGTCCGTATCATCGTCTGGTCATCTTCAATGTGAACAGCTTTGCGTGTCTCGTTCCTTCTTCCACTGGACCTTGGCACTGGGGAATGTCGTGAGGAATCGTCAGCGGAGGAAAGTCAGGGCGATTTGGGGAAAATATCGAGTGCTGATCAAGTCTACCTCATTCAAGGTTCGGAGGTTGAAAGTTTACAAGAGTGAGCAACGACTTATTCCCCAAGGCGTTAGGATCACGCATGGTGCAATTTATTAGACTTCGCGGAGGGCTAAAGTCATCCGCGAGAGGGACCCGGGGCCCTGATCATGATGCCTTGGCCAAGTTGGGCCCTTTAGCAGGGTTACACTAGGTTTCCATATCTGGTAGAGACGCCCCTGCTAATCTGCGCGAACATAGGAACGAGAACCTGATAGCCTATACGCGAATCATTCAGGCGGAGGTTCCGGTTGGCTGGAAGACTGTGCTGCAGTGGGATAAATATGTCACAGTTGAACCGACCTCAGACTCCTGCAGGATTCACTACTGCTGGGTGGGTGGGCAGGGAAAGGGAAGCCCCGTTCGCCGCGTCGCGTGTGCAGGACGACATCGAAGTGGATCCCCCGCACAACGAAAAGGGGGTAGGTTGGCTTGTCGATCAGGTACGGTCCTGCCGTCTCCCACAATTCTCGTGAGTGGCCCAGAGATTGACAGCTGCTCATTGGCGCGCGAGAGGACCCCAGCTAAGGCCTAGAACGCAGCGTACCAGAGCTTGCCCAGAGGTCCAGAGTAACCAGAGAGTCTTGAAAAGCCACCAAGCAGCCAACGGTTTGTGACTGGCTATTGTAGCCGCAAACACTGATAAGGGACAAAAAGCAACGAATCACCACCTTCCAAGTCATGCCTTTAGTCCGTCTCCTGGCCGTCAAGCACATGGCAATCTTGACCCCTGAGCCAAGGTCTCAAGCACGTCCCTTCGTTGCAACGTCCTCACTGGCCGCCAAGCCCGTAGATGGTGCTGATGCTGCTTCTTCTCTCATTCCATTGGCTGCGCATCTATCCGAGCTGGGCGTTCATCCCGCTTTTTCGATCTCTACTCTTCACCACCACCAGGTCGGCAGGGACAAGATGATCGTGTATGCATATTGCGTAGCATCCATCTCGTTCCGAGCCTCCCTTTGATGGTGTGACGAACCACGCTACTGGTCTTCAGTGAGCTTTCTCTACGGATGGCTGCTGTGTAATATATATAATGTGTATATGTAACGGATGTTCTGATAGATTTGATCATGATCATGACGTACAGTTCCAGCTACCTGCCTATAACAGCTATCCCAACTTCTACCGTCAGCATGTCGCATATTTCTCTTGTGTGTAGTAGTCCCAGATCCAAGAATTGTTGCTCTTGGCATGTTCGGGATCAAACGCGACGCCAATCATCCTAATCTGGAGAGAACCACGTGGTGTGCCGTCTTCAGACATTCCAGATGTGGCCCTCGTTCTAATGATGTTTACCGGTACCTTCGAGCGACCAATTTCCCTGAGCTTGCTCACAGTGGAATGAGACGTGTCTCCTCGGTCTAGATACAAATGATTCCTCTTGATTCCCTTCCTCTACCTGTCCTTAAGATCGGCCGCTATGGTAGCTTTCGCATGTATCTCCTGCATGTTTTAGTCTTGAGCATAGTAGAGAAACGTCCCGGAAGACTCGGTATCCCAAGTGCCATGGTTGAGAGCGGCAACTCACATGGTGTGCCGTCCTTGATCGACAGAAGTAGACACGGCACTTTTAGAATATTTGAGAGCCGCCGCCACCACAGATCCAGAAAAATAAATCCCTCATTGAATTTGGAAATAATACTTGAAGTCGTCCTATGCCGTCGCAGCTTATCAAATCTTCTAGCCAGGTATGCAGCGTGGAGAGGGTCATTCTTATCGAAGCAATTACGGAACGGCGCAAAGCGCGACTTCGCATTTCGTGCTGCACGGCGAGATGAAACGTCCTGTGCGTCTGTGACCTGCATGTCGTTGCGACTATTCTTCCGAATCGTGAAATCACGCGCCAAAAGACCCTTTTCCTTTTGTGGCGTTTATGTTCTTCGTGCATGCAGGTCAAGCGGATTATTGAAGTATCTATACACAAGGTGGCCCTGCATAGAGGTCCAGAAGCCAGATCCTCCAGCATTTGGTCTTGTAAGGTGTCTAAAGCACTTCCTGCGACCTAGGGGTTCTGAAATTTCTTGCAAGATCGAATCACTCGGTGCCATAGCAGGAATATCAGTGTCGTTGATGAGTGTCGTGTGATCTTAAAAGGTTGATCAATTGCAGCGCTGAATTCTCTCTGATTTTGTGCTTCTTGGTTTTCGCCACCGCAAGTCGACTCATGGGTTTTATTTCAGCCGTACTGTGGTTCACCCCACAGCAGTACAGCTTCCACCCACAATCATCTCACTAACAACAGAGACAAAACCAGAGATACAATAACTCCCGTAAGACAAAAATACGATCGCCAGTTTCTTGAGTAGTTTCTTATTGTCAGAAGCCTGCTCAACGGTCCCAGCGACGTATCCCAGTACCATCCCATAGATGATCCAATTCAATATGAAATTCCTATCTCTTGACTGACTCTGCCGCGCTTGCCAGCCAGTGAGCACCGTAATCACGATAAATGGCACTGCGAAGGCTGCGATGAGTAAGGCGAGGCATACCACGTGGAGAAAAGGGTCGTAGAAGGGCGGAGGAACGCGAGTCAGAGGGCCGTGAGAAGGGACGGAGATGACGGTGCTGTTGGGCGGGTATTTGGGCTGGTCGCTATTGCGACTGCGTTTCCGCCACTGTTTGTAGCGACGCCAGAGATTTGCCACGAGCACCATGGAGTTCACCTGTTGTGTATGTATGGGTTTTTTTATGGACAATGTGGGTGACCAGCTCGCGTCCGCATCCGTAGTTTTGTAGGCGATCTGCTCTTCAGAGTTGGTTTGAAAGCGAAGGGTACGACCTTCTGGCAATATTGGCTCTTCCTTTCCCACGACAGCATTGAGAGCAGGTATCTGAGGCTCATCGATTTCGCCACCCTCTGTCGGTTCGATTGTGCCAACCATACCATCTATCGCTCCCCCTTGTGAAATCATTTCGTCCATTATCGATGAGTGCACCATGTACAGCATATCATACTCTTTCGTCAATAGACTGCCGAGGAAGTTCACGGTCGAGACGATCATGTAGGGGAGGACAGTGAGGCCATAGGCCGCGTAGCCAAACCGATCGATTTGCGCCCCTTGCGCACGGTAAAGAGCCCACCCACCACTGATAGTCTGGGAGAGGGAGAAGATGATGCGTGGCGCGTTTTGAGTGGAGGCAAGCTTCGTTTGGGATGTCATCGCTTTGAGGACAGTGTTGAAGTCGTTGTTTCGGAGCGCCGTGGAAAGGCTAGGGCGTGCTGGTGGGTCGCCTTTGGGATACACCTTAACATCTTCGGGTATGGAGACCAGCTTGTAGCCCGGTGCGAGTTTGCACATGCCATGAATCTTGACGTAGTCTGGATCGACGGGAGGTCCTGTACCGAGCGCATGTCTGCCGAACTTGTGTGTCTGTACAAAAATTTTGTACAATTTCTCCAAGAAACCCCTTTGCAGAATAGGTTTGTAAGTATCAAGAATTTGAAAGCAGATAGTGCCTGAACCATCGTCCAGGTCTTCGATTGAATCGGAGGTAGCCACCTCTTTGATCTCGCCAAAATCGGCCTTGACCTCTTCCGTCCTCGCTTGTATGTTAGACGTAGTCGGCTTCTGGTCTTGCTCTTTCTCATCGCTCAGAGCGCCATCTGCCCAATCTTTCTTTTCATGATCACGAAATGACGAGTCATCGCATGTTATTTGTGTCTTAACCTCCGACTCTTGTGCTTTTATCTCCGTCGGAGCCGCGTACTTGATCTTCTCCACCTCGCAGCCATGGACTTCAGCCCCATCGATAGGCTTCCATTCTTCACTGCGAACAATGGTACATAGCGTGTTGGCACGTGCGGCGGCTTGAAGGTCGTTCCTGACGAGGTTGGCCGCCCTGGATAACAGACACAGACCCCGTCGAAGACCCGTGTAAGGAACCATGAGACAGCAGAATTTGAAGACAATGGACGTGAACATGTTCTCTCCGGGCATTGAGCGCACTGACAGGGCGTGCATGATGTAGTTGGCAAAGAAGAACCAAACGATATCGTACCAGTTTGCCGACGTACAGATGACTTGCGACCCAGGCAAGTCATCATGGAACGTAGTATTGGTCGGTGGGGAAGGATGTCCCAGGGACTTTTGCGCATGGAGGACGAGGAGGGAGGTGAAGACATGGAGCCATGAGCCAGTACAGCCTAGGGCCATGGTGAGGTCCTTCACGCGAGGCTCTGGCTCATATGGTGGTTCGGCGGCGGCAGGATAAGTTATTGGTAGTAGCAGTAGTCTCATGTAGAGTGTTCATCATGAGATCCTCCTCCTCCTTGCCGACATGACTCCAGTCACACCATACAAAGCTGAGAGCAACGGAAGGAAACGTCTAATGGACCTGGGAAAGTTGGAAGTTGCCAAATGCTTTTCGGTGGGGCAGATCAATGCCAAGCCCGAGGCAGATTTGACCCTAAAAGGCCGCAATCTCGAATCCTCCTTTCAACTCTCACATGCACACGTTCTTGATTATGGATGAGTCGGAACCGAGTGAGCAATTGGATGGAATGTTCATCCAAGCAGATCATGCATTGCTTGAAAAGCGGTCTACATTGGTGTAGATCAGCATGCGTTCGCCATGCCGTAAACTCCGAGCATTTGTAATTACGTAGACCAGCAAGACCGTGCAGCATTGGCAATATAAGAATGCCCCTCTCGAACCCTGAACATAGCGCAATAGAGTCGTCTGCTCGATCTTCACAATGACAGGCGAGTTCGGTACGCTACCAAAGCCAGCTAAGGGAGTTGCAGATTTTACTGTCGCAGTCCCTGATGATGATGTTGATGAGCTCAAACAGCTCCTCAAGCTCAGCAAGATTGCTGGACCGACATATGAGAACACGCAGGAAGACCGCAGGTATGGGGTCACCCAAGCCTGGCTGACAAAGGCAAGAGATCACTGGCTCAATGAGTTTGACTGGCGTGCTTGTGAGGCACATATCAATTCATTTCCCAACTTCAAGGCTGCGATCGAACATGATGGCGAAACCCTTTCAGTCCACTTTCTCGCCCTCTTCTCCAAGAAATCTGATGCCGTGCCTGTCGTAAGCATTCACGGCTGGCCTGGTAAGCTGCCTCATTGCCTTTCCAAGAGCCGGAAGCTGACTTCCCTGCAGGCAGCATCTTGGAGTATGTCCCCCAGCTTGGCCTCATCAGCAGAGAATATACGCCTGAGACCCTACCATATCACATCATCATCCCTTCGCTGCCTGGATATGGCTTTTCATCTGGTCCGCCCGTCAGCAAGGACTACGATGTTGCGACTGCCACAAGGATTTTGAACCAATTGATGATCAATCTAGGCTTCTCCACCGGCTATGTCGCAACAGGTGGGGATATTGGTAGTGGCGTCGCACGGATCATGGCGGTAAGACACGATGAGTGCAAGGCCATCCAAATCAATTTCTGTCCGATCAGAAATCCGCCGGAGCATTATCCTCGCGAATCTCTCACTGAATTCGAAAAGTCGTGCGTTGAACGTGGAGAGACATTTCTGCAGACTGGGGCTGCGTATGCGATGGAGCAGGGAACCCGACCTTCGACTCTTGGCTTAGCCCTCAACTCTAGCCCACTTGCCTTGCTCGCTTGGGTAGGAGAAAAGTTTTTGGCTTGGTCAGATGAAGACCCCAGCTTGAACACCATATTGCAAGATGTTTCACTTTATTGGTTCACGCAGACCATCAGCCGCTCTTTCTACCCATACCGACAACGCTTTGAAGGCAAATTGTCTGGATCTGGGGCGGAGAACCCGGAGCTCTTTGTCAAAAAGCCGTTTGGGTATGTCTACTTAATGATGAAAGAACGCGTCATTCTTTTCTAGGTCGATGTTGGCTAACAATATTGTGGAACCCAGATATCAACTTTTCCCGATGGAGCTCATGCCGGCCCCGAAGGCCTGGGCTGCGACAACAGGAAACCTAACTTGGTTTCGCCAGCACGGCTCGGGCGGGCATTTTGCAGCATTGGAGAAGCCAGCGGAGACCAAGCGGGACCTCGAGGATTTCCTGAAACAGCTCGCTGAGGAGAAGGTTCAATTCGGATCGTGAGCCTCAGGGCTCTACCACCACAAGATGCCCATGGCACAAGGCCGCGTGAGTAATTTGAAAGATCTCTCTTACCTCTGTGTGAGCTGATGGTATCCAATGTACGGATTTCCCAAATTCCCCCTCTTCTTCAAATCTGGATGCGCGTTTATCTTTAGGAACGGAGGCATTTATGCACGTCCCAGGCGGTTTGAAGTTTCCCGCTACCCGCACCTCCTGTCATGGCTCAAGACATACTATGCCCCCAATGACTGATCATGGCTCGGGCCATGATCATTATTTCTGCACACGCTGTCGTTTTCACCTATCTGACAATTACAAGGTCACTGTTCTTTGCAAGTCGTTCACTACTCATTCTGCTTCATCTGTTTTGAGCGCAGTCATTCTTTTCACACGCTCACACACAAGGTGCCTTATCCAAGGTTTGGTACCTGCATTTGACAGCAGCGCCATTCCTTTCTCCCGACGGTCGGTCGCATGATTGTCTCTCTTCACAACAATCGCCATTCGTAGCCAGCGTCCTCAATGGCCAGATCTTTAGTGCTATCAAAAGCTTCTTGATGTTCAGGCATTGGAAGTTAGCTATACTATTGTACATATTTAATGCTGCCTACACATCTGGTAATGCGTCAGGTCTGTAGTACCTCACCAACTAATGTACTTACAAGAGCTCACAGGAAGTAGGTGATCGTTTTGATTTGTCGGATGGGAATTTTTCCAATGCAAGCTCGTCATGCACCACGGCATTTACTTCGTCGACCCAGTCGAGCACTACAGTCTCACTCCATTCCTCTCTTTCAGCAACAACAAACAATTTAGGGCAAAGCAGGTCTGACGCCCGTACTTCCATCACCCTCTCTCCAATAACTTCTGCCGACCAATCCTCGACAGCAATTGATAACACTACGAGCTCCCAATCTGTATCATCTTCCATTCTGAATAATGAAAACGAGTTTTATTTTTCATCCGCGTCGCGATCATCAGCGTCCTCGACGACTCAAAGATTTACTAGCGAGACTTTCGTGAGCGGCTCCTCACAACCTTCATTTACTGCCACCAGGACAGCAACTTCTTCGAATTCAAATTCAAGTTCGTCTGCGATTGTCCCAATACAAACCACCTCCTTGGGTGTGGCACTAGACGCCACGAATTCAAATAATAGCTTTCCCACCGTAACTGGCACTCAGACTTCAAACTCAAAGCATGAATCGTCCTCAAGTGTCAGCACGATATTCACTGTTACATCTCCTGGTAGCAGATGTACTCAAACTCGCGGCAGCGAGGGAGCCTTATTCGGAAAAAGGCGTAGTGTGAAGAGGATCGTTCGTAGGCCAGGTATTGGTCTCGGCCTGCAGCAGACAAACAACAACGCCTTGAATAAGACGCTCAATCCCGACGAGAGCGCTGCTTCTCTTCAACTGGCAGCAAGTAGCCTTTCGCGTATAGGAGATGACGAATGTGAAGTAGACGAGACGCAGTCGAGCAATCAATCGAGCGAAAGTCTGTCAACACTTTCCACATCAAATTCGTCGTCGACTGCAAATGTTACAAATACGTTGCTTTCAAATGGGACGCTTTGTTTGCAGGACAGTATTAGCAATGCTACAAACACCACTGATCTACCCTGCCGCGACATAAACTCTAAGCGCCCAGGATTTGGCAATTCGACTGGCTCCTCTTCCAACTCCTCACTTCATCGTTACATCAATCAAGCCGGGAAAGCTTCTGCCGTTAAATACTCTCAGTCAAGTCTAATTTCGCCAGAGGAGTTTGCATCGGGTACAGAGAACTCGGAAAATCCAACCTCTACTGGCACAAGCCAATCCTCAGGCAGCACTGCCCTCTTTTCTAAGATGTTCTTTGGCCCTGACGGAAAGGTACAAAGTGGAGATTACGCAGCTTCCTTTCACAACTCAGAGGAAAATCTTATACCTGGCGGATCGGGTACTGCAGAGTCCGATCCTGGAAGTACAGGCACTCCGCAGTCATTTTCAGGGTCATCTTCTTCAGAGATTCCCAGTGTGGGAACTGGGTCAGGCAATGAGAATCATGTTTTCAGTCACGCTCTGGCTGACCATACGAATGAACAAAATCCTGATGAGAGCATTAGTCCTCAAGCGAATTACTACCTTGGGGCACAGCCGAACTTGGTTGCACAAGCATCGATAAGAAGTCCACACCCATCTCCTCTACCACCGGCGGCTACTGGCCAGTCAACAAGTGGGAGTGGAAATGCAGGTACACAACCAAATAGCTCGGGTTCGACTGGGACGCAGACTGAGACGAACCCACAAGACGGCTCGCACTTGCAAAATAGTGAAACTTTACCAGATGACTACACTGGCCCTGTTGAGGCGTCGCTCACTACACCTACACCTGGCTATCATGTGACACAGGGTAGCTTGACATCACCGAATGCAGGTTCAGGTGGTGGAGGTGCCGAGAATGGTGAGTCAGGCAGTGGTAATAATGGGAACGGGGGATCGAACAGTGGAAATGCCGGAAGCACAGAGTCCAGTGGTGGAAACACTGGAAACGCAGGGTCGAGTAGTGCAAATGCCGGCGTACAGTCGAGTGCGCAGCCGTCAAATCCACCCGATATTATCACCAATTCGCGACGTCGACCAGCTGGCGTAGCTGCTGGCAAGAGTCCGGCGGTCAAAGTACCAAGTGGTACTTTGGCGAACAGTGAGACCAAAGATACTGGACAGGGTAGCTCAAGCTCGCCTTCACCTCAATCTCCACCGCCACCTGAGAGCCCGAATCCTTCTATCGGAGCTTCCAATCCTCCGACTGAAAGTACAAATTCACAGGTTGGAACCTCGAATCCAGAGGATGGAAAATCAAGCCCGGTATCTGGCGGCTCCAACCAGCCTGCTACAAATTCTAATCCACAAACCAATAATCCAAAACCAGCCGTTGGAGTCACAAACAGCAATCAAAGCCCATCCACTGATACAAATTCTCAAAACCCAGGAACAAATTCAAACCCAGGAGTCGCCAGCGTTCCTCCTGCCTCATCAGGAGTTCCACCAAGCCATCTCGCAAACCTCCAAGTCCATGGCCAAGCCATAGAGCAACAACCCAACGGTGACCTCAAAGTTGGCTCTCAAATAATTCCTAAAGGCGAAGCTGCAAACGTCGATGGCGTCCCAGTCTCGAATGGTCCAGAAGACGTCAAAGTCAACGGCCAATCCTACAAAGTAGCTTCCACCCCTCCTGCCCCCGCCGCCGCACCAGCTCAAGCACAAGTGCCCAATTTCTCCATACCCAAAGACGGCTCCCCCTTCACAATCCCAGTGCCTGCTGGATCGACCGTCAATAAGCCCGCCCTCTCTGCGGCACTTCCTGGTGCCGAAATCTCCGTCCAGCCTAACGATGCCGGTGTCACCGTATCCAACTACCACCCACCATCATCTTCATCTTCGCAATCCAACCCTTCCACCGCCCCACCAGTATCCTCTGCTGATGAAGATAGCGTCAAAGCCAAAGTCGCACAAGCATTCACCCTCCCCTCCTCCACGGGCACCGGAGTAACCCCACCCTCCATCTCCATCCCCAAAGACAACGCCCCCTTCACCATACCTATCCCATCAGGCTCCTCCGTCAACATCTCCTCCCTTTCATCCGCCCTCCCAGGCGCCTCTCTTACACCCTTACCCGACAACAGTGGTGTCAGCGTGACAGGGTACAATCCAACCTCGCTCGCCGCCAATGTTCCCCCACCAGACCAGAGCACCCTTCAAACCAAAGCCGCCGCGCTCAAGACTTCTATCGCGCAATCCTTCTCCCCCACCACTGGCTCCAACCCCGCAATAGCTCCAGACATCTCTATTCCCGATGATGGCGCACCCTTCACGATCCCCATCCCCACGGGGTCTACCCCTCCATCGGAAGCCGCAATCAAAGCCGCGCTGCCAGGCGCGAAAGTCACCAAACTCCCCAACAACGCCGGCTTCAGCGTCGAGGGCTACAATATCCGCAACACCCTCTCCCTACCATCTGGTGCTGGCAGCACAGACACAGCCACTCAAGCGATCGCGGCCAAGAAGACTTCCGTCCAGAACGAGCTCAAAGCCGCGTTTCCTACATCTACTACTGGCGCCACTTCAGACTCTGCGGTGGACCTACCAAATCTCGAGATCCCCACGAACTCCACCGAGCCATTCACAATCCCCATTCCTGCGGGCAGCGACGTCGACATCAACAAGCTACAAACGGCACTGCCGGGCGCGAAGCTTACGAAATCAGCGGATGGCAAGTCTGTGAGAGTCGAGGGTTTCAGTGTCGCTGGTGCTGTGCGCGAGGATCAGGTGAGGGAGAAAGCTGAAACGGGGATCAAAGCCGCTTTTCTCGCGCCGGATGATTCTCAGAATCTTTATGTCTGGGTGCCTGACGGTGGGGCGAATTCAACCACCACTACTGGGACAGGGGGGACCAATGCGACTGCTACGGCAAGTGGTTTCACGACCTTGGTGAGCCCGAGTGCGACTGGTACAGGTGTGCCGATCGATAACGGAATACCTGCGCCCGATGTGCCGAATCTGGTGCCCGTCGCTGGCAACGGTGATGGTGGTGGGGGTGGAGGGAAGAAAAACGCTGCGGTCAGACTCGCAGCTGGGCGGTGGTTGTGGGCGTGCTGGGGAATTGGCGCGGGTGCCTTGGTGGTGCTGGATTTGTAGTGAAGTGCAAGGGGGGAAGAAGTCATGTCATTAAGGGAAGTGAATTATATCGTGCTCTACATACTACACTGTACATATACATATATATATGCAATAATATACCCATTCCCATACCCAACCCAGCCCACGCGTACCTAAATACCTTATCCATGCAGTCCAGCTATGCCATATCCTCGCTATGCCAAAAACCCCTTAAAGGCCAGACACGTGCCCCCTACCTCCTCCTCCGCGGCGGCTTACTCTTACTACTCTGTCTCGCCCCCCACTCGGCCGTCCCTGCGTCCCAACTCCAAAACTCAACCCGGCGGCGGCCAAATTCGGACTCGCCTTACTCCCCCCTTTCCAATGCCCGAACTCCCTCCCTTCCCTGCGCCGCACCGCCGTTGGGCTTGGCTCTGATCCCCAGTCAAGCACACCCCCTGCCCCCCCCTGGCCGGATCTTTCGTATAGCAAACATCACCGCCAGGGCACCCGATCGACGCTTTCTGATTACACGTCCGCACGCATTTCGGGATCGATTTTAAAGCGCCTTCTTGGCAGAACGGCACGGGGAAGCACGATTCGCCGCGTTTGCAGGACTGGCATTGGTCTATTGCTGCTGGGCGGTCGAAGTGTTGGGTTGAGATTGAGGGGAGGGAGGTTTGGCGTTTGCGTTGCTGGTGCGAGCGCTTCTTGAATTTTTGATTGCGGCCGAAGATGCGGGAGTTGGTGGTCGAGCGTTTTGGTTTGAGCTTGGAAGGGGAGGAGGGGGAGGGAGAGGGGGCAGGCGGGGCGGAGAGACCCTTCATGATTGCGCTGCCCACGGACGGCGTCGTAGGGTTTGAAGGGTTAGGACCAATTGTGTTGGCGACGCAGAGGGATGGGTTGCGGTACAGCGCATCAATAACATAATTCCAGAGATTGATGTAATTATAGAACGTCCATGTCGTGTAGAAGATGCGGCAGTCCGCCGGCTCATACGTGAACTGCAGCGGCGTGTTCTGGCCCTTGCGCATCCCGTCTTTGATGTTGAAGCCCGCGTAGAGCAGCACGAAATCCACAGCGTCGCTGCGAGAGCTGGGGAGGTCGCCCGCCACGCTCGCGTTGAACGTGTCGATTGCCGTCGCGATGTCGATGTCGAGATCGAATGAGCTGTAGGATTCGGCGCCCTTGTTCCCCCCTACGGCTTGCATGCGCGATGTGTCTGGCCGTCCGCCGGCGACGACGGTGCGCGCGCCGCCCTCTGTGCGCATCATTTCGACGAAGCGCGCGCAGGCGGAGGAGCAGAGGCTGTCGGTCAGGAGGATGACGTCTTTGGAGGGGAAGGGTTGTGGGGGGCTGGCGGTGCGGTTGGCGAAACCGGCGATTACGATGCCGGCGACTTGTTCGGTGAAGACGGTGCTGGAGAGGTTGTTGCGTTGGACTTGGGTGAAGAAGTCGTCGTGGTCGGGGACGGGGCCGAAGTAGTCGCCCCAGGAGGTGAAATTTTGGCCTGTGGAGGCGGAGAGGTAGGAGGTCGCTACCCATTCGCTGGCGGAGAGCTCTTCGTAGGTTGGGCTGTCTGCGTCGGTGAATTGGTGGGTCTCGTAGAAAGTTGTGAACGTGTTGCCGAGGGCGTCGCCAGTCTTCTCTGCACGCGCACGTGCTCCGCCGAATGGATCGATGGTTGGGAAGAATTGTTTGAATACGTCTGTGGCGAGCAAGTCACTTCCTCCGATGTTGCCTTGGAGATCGACGATGATTCTGGTGCAGCCAGCGGCTTTGGTCCGCGTGATGGTGTCTTGCACGGTCTGTGAGAATGAGAAGGCGTTTTCTACGGTCATTGCAAAGCTTGGAATGCTCAAGACGGCCGTAATGTTGTCGTTGAGAACATAGCCCGTCAGCACGCCGCCGTTGTCACCAAGGTTGGCCTGAGAGGCAATTGGGTCTATTGGATAGGCGATGTTGTTCCAAGACGTAAGGAGATTTGAGTCTCCGTCAAAAATGGAGTCGTCCTCACTATCATCAGATGAACCATCAGAGCTGTCGTCAGATGAATCAGCGTCGGAGCTATCTGAGCTATCTGCAGCAGCACTGCTCGAGCTTGTTGGCGCGTCTGTCGCCGTTGCATCTGCAGCAACAGAAGACGTTGGCGTGTCATCAGGAACTTCAGTATTGTCAATGCCGAGTATGAACCAGTCGAAGAGCTGCTGGCCAGTAATGATGTTGGGTGCATCAGATGGATCAGTGAACGGACCCCACGTAGCCAGCCAAGGATCACTATCGACAACCGTTCCATTCTCGAATTTGAAGGTTATGTTGACACCAGGGTAGAAGATCGAAGACCCTTCGAAAGTGCTAAGGATACCCTGGATGTCATTGGCAGGGGTCGTTATGAGGTTGTTGAAGTCGGCGTTTGGCTCTATGTAGCCTTGTACGTTGTGCGTCGCAAAATCCTCTAGGTACGCTACGGCGTCTTGATCATTTATTGTCGTGATTGGCGATGCCTCCCAATCTGCATCGTCGTTCTGGGCTTCCAACAAATCATCTACAGCGCATATCAGCGAGGATCTGAATGTGGTCTCGGTATTTACTGACCGGTTATGAATATCTTGGGAAGCTCGATGCCATTTGTTGATACCGAGACAATACCGTATGGAGATCCAAAGCTGAATATGCTCATTATACCGTATGCAAGAAGCAAGTGGGCATCGTGGGTCTGCAGCACGAGTTGTTGCACAGCATATTCGAAATCATACTCATTCTTGAATCCGCCTTGATTCACTTGGTCACGGATCTTGTCAAGACCGCCGTAAAGATCGAAAGATGGCTGCTGATAGTCTGAAGGTGGCTGTTTCAGGTATGCTTGAGTCGTCTGGAGCTGCAGGGTATCCTCATAGTATTGGAGGAACTGTAGAGCTATGGTCTGATTGAAGGGCGCCGTGATCAAGCATTGATAAACAAGGTCGGCGGTGAAGAAGTCATCTTCGAGGTATCAGCATGGTAGGACATCTCAGCTCTATGGCTTCGACCTACAGTCTTCCCCTGAAGCGAAAATCTGGCCGCATGGCGAGTCCGCGTTTTGTCGGGGAGCCAGGTGGGGCTTGGCACTGGAGAGGGCGGAGAAGATTAATATTAAGACAACAGAAACAGCATGACGAAACATTATAGCGGCCATGATGGAATGAAACAAATGAAACGAAAGTGATTCAGCAACAGCGTACGACCGTGCTGTTGTATATAAAGGTATGAAGGAGAAACAAAAAGACAGTAAGCGGAGTCATTTGGTTTTCTTCAATCCTCAGATCGAGGTACCACCCGCATAAGGCTGCAGACGTGCGCCTCCATCCGGCAGTCCATGGGAGACTCTAACGGTATAGAGCATGGCCATTCGCACTCACTGACAGGCGATTGGTCTTACTCCTGCTCGGGCTCTGGGCACGCGGAGATGACTGCTGCAACGACAGTCCTGCCAAGTAAGCTTATGCAGTCGAGATCACGCTATCAGCATCCGTGCCTTACCGAATGCACCAGTCCTTTCGTTTGAAACACGCCGCCAGAAGCCTCCTCTCTATTTATATATCCTCTCCAAGGCCATAGTATGAAGATTGAAGCTGGGAGAACCCTCTCTCGGTGAGAGAAGAATCCATCCAAGACGGTTCTTAGTGGTCACAGTGATGGCAACCCATAGCTGTCCAGAGATCAGGCTGCGTGGCGGCACGTATAGGGGTACCACCCAAGGGAAATTGACAGGATTTAAGGCCACCCACGCTAACAGTGACTTCCCATCGTTGGCTCAAATTCTGGCATAGCCCCCGCCTCTTGAGTCGTGACTCGTGAGTTACTGGGTAAGGCCACCAACATTAACCGAAATTGCTCGTGGCTTGCTGGTCAAAATCTGCGCGTGGGAGCGGTGTACTTGCGATGTGCATCAGTGCGTCTTACTTGCGTGGTGACTGGTGGCATGATGACTCACCACAGCAGCAGGCAGCACAATGCTTTGACACATTATCATAGAGAGAAGCGGTTCTAAGTTTAGTTTGCCACACAACTTTTGGAATTGTGATGGTGATAACGGAGACGGTGAGATCCTTCTGGGGTACACCCGTTAACCGTGGACGGAGCATGTGGCTCCGGCCCCGAACTACGCAGCTCTCATCACGTTTGGGTAAGTGTCGTACTGCTGAACTCGGTATTGCTCACCATTGCATCACCGTGTACTTTTTCCCTTTCTATCAACGAGCAGGTTTCATGCGACGCCATGTTATCGATGAGCTCTGTAACCATAAGACTTTCGAGATGAGAAAAGACCGGTAAGGCGATAGGTCTCTCCATGTCGTCGAGAGTCAAGTGAAAAAGCCGTTTCATCTATAACCAGAATGAGACAGAGATGGTATAAAAGCATCTCATGCAGAATCATCTCCAGTACAGCTTGACTGTAGTGGAACTCTCAGCTTTCCGGTTGGTTGGCGCTTTTGGCTTATATATCGAGACGTGTACACCCCACTAAATCAGAGAAATGTCTGGTTTGGAGGTTTTCCAAGCCATAGCCGCTGTTGATGGCTTGGTGAAGGGCATAGATATGGTTGGTATCTACGTCCGTGATGTCTGGAAATATGAAGAGCAGCAGGGGGAAATGCGGAAAACGCTAGATAGTATGAAAGACAGTCTGCAATCCCTTTACAGTCGGAAGGCAGAGATGGAAGCACACGCGAAGAAAGACATACTGTTTAGTGACTTCTTAAAAGTCGTCAGAAGTGGAGCTCTGGAGAACATCAAAGAAAACCTGGATGGGCTTGAAAAGGCACTGAAGCCAAGGAAGAGCTTCAAAAAAGCTCTTAACCACACGATTTGGACCGTCTACAAGCGAAAAATAAATTCACTGCTCTCTGCAATCGAGCAGATTGCCTCGCGAATTAGAAATGCACTTCAGGCTGATCACCTCAGTATCTCTTTGGATACCAATCAAGGGATGGACGAGAGCAGAGCCTTCTTCGCAGCGCAGAAGAGAAAAGACGAGGAAAAGGACTTAGAAAAGAATCGAAAGGTTCGTGAGCAGAAGAGCCAAGATATTGTAGCTTGGTTGCCAAAATTGGATTTCGAGGCAAGGCACCAGGAGATTCTGGAGCAGAGCATCGAGATGGGACACGACATCTTCAAATCCACCGAGTTCGACTCGTGGCGCAGCAACGTCCGGCCGTGGCTCCTCTCTTGTTGGGCAGATGCAGGTGCAGGCAAGGTAATGCAAGACATTGCTTCACGTGGGCGCTTGTTCACATACACGTAGACCATGCTAAGTACGCGGATCATTGAGCATCTTCGCACGTATCAAAATGAACATCACAAAGGCAAGAAAATCCCAATACTTTGTGCCTATCTCAACCACAAAGAGCAGGACAAACAATCGCTCAGTAATATCTTGGGCAGTTTGCTAAAGCAACTGATACTGTATACAAAGCCTGCATCTTGCTCTGATGATCTTGTTAAAGCTTATGACGCAAAGTGGCCATCACGGTTTGATGAGAGGGAGATGGCGAACGCTTTCCGCAGAGAAATATTGGAATTCGATAGGTGAGCAGAGGAAATGCAGGCACGAGGTGAGATAAATTGGCTGATTCCCTGACTCAAGAGTCATGATAGTTGCGGATGCGCTCGATGAAAGCTTTGATGGTAGTGGCTATCGCTTCCTCGAGGCCATGGCCGCGCTACCAATGGACAAAGTCAGTGTGTTGACTACATCCAGGGGTGATGTACCGTTTACCTTGAGGACTAAAGAATGTGACCAGTGTGATAGAGGCCCATTCAGCCTTTATTACAGCTGCCAAAATTGTCGTCCACCAATAGAGGTGGACATATGTTATGATTGCAAGCTCAAGAAAAGAGGCTGCCCAAATAATCTAGCACATGAATTGAAGGAACCTAATGATGAAGTTGTTCTGGACATCGCACCGTCAAATGACAATATCAAAGCCTACGTTAAGGGCGAACTACATAAAGAGGCTACCGCCACTCGCCCAGGCCGCGTAAACAGCGCACCTCATCTCACTCGACGAACAAGTACAACAAGATTCGGGAGACTGTGCGAACAAGATCGAAAACTGGAGCAAGATGTCATTGACACGATCTGCGATCGTGCAGACGGTAAATTCATGATGGCCAAGCTTTATGTCAAAACCATCAAGGATCAAGCCAGCATTGGAGAGATCCGACGGGCGTTGGGAAAATTACCAAAAGGGTACAGTCAGACCTATCAGTCCACGATGGAGAGAATTCAAGAGGAAAGTAGGGCTTTCAAACGCGCAACAAGGATTCTATCATGGATAGTGTTTGCAAAGCGACCCCTGACTATGGCTGAGTTACAACATGCGCTTGCTACCGACGTCGATGATGGTTACCAACAAGACGAGGAGTATCCTCGCGACACGATCGTCGAAGACATTGCTGGCCTCATATATATTGGTAGCGATGATACTGTGCGGCTTGATCATTACACTCTACAGGAGTATTTCAACGGAGATGGTCACCATTGGCTTCATGCTGGTTTCTCGACTCTCATCACTCGAGTGTCACTTGCCTACATCAATGTGAAGGCCATTTACGCACCACTGGGATCGTCTGAGGACGCAGAACTTGCGAAACGAGAGAAATTGTACCCTTTCATGAGCTATGCTAACGGCTACTGGGGGTATCACGCAAGAACAGCCGAAACGAACGAGCACGAGACGAGCGACGCAGAAGCACTACAAAGTGCAATCATCGCTTTCTTGCAGGATGACGATCGATTGTCAACGTTCGTCAAAGCATTCTGGTACCTGGAGACGCCTGAATCGTCAAGATGGGAAATTCGCAAGGGAGCAACAGCACTTCACCTGGCGGCTTGGTTTGGACTCGCAAGCATTCTCCCAGCACTAGTAAAGCACATATACGTAGATTCGCAAGATCCTGGGCATCGTTTAACGGCACTGATGTGTGCATCTCGGCGTGGCCACGCTGCGACAGTAACACAACTGCTCGCGCTCGAAGCTTCCCCAAATAAGAAGAGTGCTCGAGGCAGGACAGCTATGTATGAGGCGGTCACGGGTGATCATCTGGAAATCGTCAAGATCTTGCTCGATGATGACGTGGACCTGGAACAAGAGTTCCCATGGGACTTCAACCGTACCATCTTGATGGTTGTTGCGCAGCTTGCAAAGATCTCAATTGTAGACCCGCTCCTCGAACAAAAGCCGAACCTCAATCACCGGGATACTCTTGGCTTGACAGCATTGTCACTTGCCTGCTCGTTAGGCCAACAAGGCCACATTGACATTGTTGAGAAGCTTCTGGGCAGCGATATCGATATCGACATCAATGCTACGATGGCAAATGGTGGTACTGCTCTTAATGCAGTAGCAGCGTACGTCCCATCAGAAAACGGCAGAATCATTGCATTGATCTTGCTGGAGAAGGGTGCCGATCCAGAGCACACGAGTAACAGAGGTGAGACATCCCTCTTTCGTGCAGCTGCGGATGGCAATCTTCACGTCCTCGAAGCTATCTTGGAAGAGAGAAGTGAGTTGCTACACAAAATAGATGGGCAAGGACGAACGCTCCTGCATGCGTCAGTGAGTAGTGGAGAGCTCGAAGTCGCCGAATATTTAGTCAGCAGAGAGATCAAGAAAGAAGCTCGTGACCACGACGGACGAACTGCCCTCCACGAAGCTGCTCGGGTCGGAACCAAGGCATTCGTAGAGTACCTCCTCAGTCTCGACCTCGACGTCAAGCTCGAAGACAAATGGTCCCGCACACCAGCAGTAATCGCCTGGCAAAACGGACAAACAGACCTTCTTCCTCTCCTAGCCCCTTCCCACAAGCCAAACCAAGCATTATCCTCAAAACACATCCTCGACGACGCCACCCTACCGCTCTGGTCCCTCGCCAAGCTCGGCCGCGAGGACCTCATCACCGCCCGCCTTTCCTTCCTCTCCCCAACCCCATCGCTGATAGACTTCGCCCCAAATCCAGACACAGGCGACACGCCAATCCACTGCGCCATCGCCTCTTCCCAACCTTCAATCTTGAAGCTGCTCCTATCTACCACTCCTTATACTGCCCTAGACAACACAGCTCATCCCATCAACGCGCGTAACTTCCTCGCTCGCACACCCCTGCACGAAGCCATCTCCACCTCCTCCCTCCCCCTCCTAAACCTCCTACTCGCGAACGATCCGCAACCGGATCTCAACGCCATCGACATCGATGGCTCCACGCCCCTCTGGCTAGATTTCACGCCCCCGATTTCGATTTCTGCGTGTGGTAAGCCTCCCCCTTCCCCCATTTCCCCCTTCCCCCCCTTCCCTTTCCCTTTCCCTCTTGCCCTCCTCCAAAAACCCCCCAACTCACACCACCTAGGCATCGCCCTCCTCGCCGCCGGCGCCACATTAGAAAACAACGCCATGATAACCCCCTACTTCTTCGCCGCCATCCAGCACGGCAACCTCGCCGCCGTCGAATCCATCATCAGGAACTACGCCGCTGCAGGCGGGGGCCTGTTGCAGGCGAAGAACGCCCAGGGAAGGAGTGGGCTGCAGGTCGCTAAGGCGAGTGGATGGGGGGAAATCGTCAGGGTTTTGACCGTTAATAAGAGTTTGTATTATGATAGTGGGGTGGGGGAGGGGGGAGAGGTGGGGGAGGGGCTGGGTAGTGTGAGTTTGAGAGGCCCGTTGAGTCCGCCTGAGGATGCTTTTGATGATGATGAGGAGGAGGAGGAGGAGGAAGTGGGGCGTGGAGGGAGACAAGAAGGGGAGCGGATGGAGGAGGGAAAGGGAAAGGGAAAGGGGAAGGGGAAGGTAGTGAGCTGGCCGGACGTGCCAGCGACGGAGCCAGCGGGAGGCTTGGGGTTGGATTTGGAGGGGAAAGTTGGGAGGATGGCCTTGGAGGAGACATGATGGATGGGTCTGTGATTTGGGCAAAAGCGTTGCATACTGTTCTGGCTTCTTGTCCAAAGTTTGTTTATGTGTGTGCCCTGCTCTTGATTGCTTCATGTAGACGTCTTCACGCAATGTACAGGATACGACTCTTGGATCTCTCGCATTGTCCACAACATGCAGGCTATCTTCACTTCCAAGCGGCACCACTGCCCACGCCTTTCTCCGAGAGGCTACCGGTGTGTCGCCTACACTGTATGACCACCAGCTCCTCTGATCCTCCTTCCCTCCATGGCGGATCTAGCGAGTTGCTCCGATAGTCTACAGCTGGCTACCCTTCATCGCCTGAGCTTGAATCCTAGCTAGAGACTGCGCGGTATCTTGCCACGCAGGAGTCTCGCTAGTTCAGTGTGATGTCATGTCTTCTTGCCTGCTCTTTCAATTTTTCTGGTAACACGGTCTTGCTTCCCATTTTACACGGTTCAGGTCCGATCTGATGCTAGGAAGTGTAGTGAAGCCGTAACTCTCCAAGCGCAGTTGGGGGGTCCGAGAAGATGGAGGTGTTGAGGGCAGGAGGGGAGACGTCAGCAGAGTTGTCGCTCGGGAGGACAGTGGTCCTATAGCGGTGGTTTGTCCGAAGCTTGAGGAACCTATGCAGAGCCATACTTGGCTTGCCAGATAGTGCCAAGACTACTAGCCAGATTTGGTTAGGTATTGCGAGCTAGTGACAGATCTGAGTAGGACAATTTGGTACACGACGTATGGAAGCCTGTTCTTGTAGCTTTCAAATATTGACACTCATGGTGATACTTTGCATCGTTCCTCTTTTCAGATCATCACCTTCAGCACTTGCTGAATGACCGCTACATCAAAGACCTACATCTCGCTTTGGCGAGCAAAAGACTCGTAGCATGGCCCCAGTTACACGGTCTCGACACCCCAAAAAGGGCTTCGGTGCCCCAATTACACCTCCTCGACACGCTAAAGAGGGCTTTCGTGTCAGTCGTGACAGCTTACTCAACGTCCGTGAGCCTAAATATCGCGAAAAGAGAAAGTACGATGATGTCAATTGCAGTGCTTTAATGAAACCCAGCTTACAAGTCTGACCAAAGAGCCTCAAGAAACGTTCAGAAATCGCCACTTCTTAAATTGCCAGCTGAGATTAGGCACAAGATCTTCAAGTATGTACTTGGAGGTAATCATGTACATGTGAAAATGAGGTACTGGGATCCAAAAACCGGCGTCGAATGTAATTACAGTTTCGGTAAGCTTAGGCTTGAATGGAGTCTAGTTGCCGAGACACGCCCTTTGATCAACAGTCCAGAGACCCTCCAACGTCATACGGAGGCGGAGAAGATCAATGCTGCTTTGCTGAGGACATGCCGCTTGATATACTCAGAATCTTCTCTTCTGCTTTACACCCACAATATTTTTTCTTGGGCCACTAGGTGGATCATGCGCGAATGGTTCAAGTTCCGGAAACCCGTACAGATACGAGCTTTAAGAGCTATCTCACCAGGCTTGGAGCTCTTGAGTCAGACAATCTTGAAGAGCTTGGTGGGGCTCGAGGATATCTACAATCCAAAACGTTCTTGGCTGTGGACAAACTGGTGCAAAGAGAGAGGTGTCCGGCATCATTCGATCTCGCCAGAGTATGCGACCAAACACTACGGCGGCTAACTACGCTCAAGCTATCCATCTGGTCCGCTGCGCTCAGTCATATCATCCAATCAGCCGTGGAGTTGCTTCGAAACCACTCTAGTGAAGGAGTCCTGTCTAGCGAAGGTACGAGTTAATTCCGGCTTTTGTGAGCAGAGATGCACACCGAATATGAAACCTATTCAATGGTAGCAAAGTCAGCCATAAACAAATTATGGCCAACGAAGCGGCGATGCTTCGCTTTTGATTACAATTCCCAAAAGAATATGAAGAAGAATTGTGCGTGTAAAAGACAGTTTATCGATGGCACGCTCTTCAACGCGCAGTGTGAAGCTTTGGACTACATTACTGCACTCATAGCATCAGTGAATTTCGACACTAGATCTGAACTGCCGACCACAAGGTTAATTTCTCTCCAATTGAGCCCGAGATACTGCCAAGGCTGCTAACCAAATCTGGGTAGTCCCAACTTAGGTAAGCTTCAAAAAAGGACACTCTTGCCTGCGCGACATTTCTGCCTACGCCAATGAGTCAGGACATTTTGGACATGGTGCACGGACTGACTTGTTCTATGAACCCAGGGTATCAATTGATTAATGTCAGGTAGTTCTGGAGCTTGTTTGTGACAGCCAAGGTGCACAGTGGACGAATACGGAGGACCCGTACTTTCGCTCTCCGCATTGCTATCGGCATTACCGTAATTGCTCAAATGCTGTCCCAATAAACACGTATCGTATGGCCCAACGACTAATTGAGATGGCTCGACGAAAGAAGCAGCATCATCCTAAGGCGGGTTTCCGTATTAGTCGTGATGGTTTACTCAATATCGGCCATCCCAAATATCGGAACAAGATCAGGTGAGATGGCTTCACTCTCAAAATTGTGTAACTTGGGACGATCAGCTGAAAACCCCTGAGAATGTTGAGAAACGCTCAGAAATCTCCGCTCCTCAAACTACCGGTCGAGATCAGACAAAGGATATTCAAACTCGTGCTTGGAGGTCTCCATTTTCAAGTAGTCCGGAAGTTCTGGGGTCACAAAAGACGTAAAGAAAGTCATCAGGAACACATTGACATTTTCCGTGTGGATTGTTGCCGCGTCGATATCTTTCCTTTCGACGACGGCTCATACAACCACGACCTCGGCCCACCGTCCCCGCTGCTAGGAAATATCATCAACACTGCTTTATTGAGAACATGTCGCTCGATTTATGCAGAAACTTCATTGATACTCTACACCGAAAATTATTTTTCATGGGATTATATGAGCACTTTGTGTCTCTGGATGAAGAGCCTGAAGCCTATACAGAAGCGGGCTTTAAGATCCATTGCACCTGGGTCTAAACTTCCGCCTCAACATGTTTTGAAGCACTTGGTCGGTCTTCAAGATATCTATGTCATCGAAGTCTACCAGACTAGAAATTGGAGAGAGTGGGATACTGAGCAGCGAATCCGGTATCATAGGATCGGCTGGCATTATCACTCCTGTGGTGAGCCACTTCGACCTGCATTCCCAATACATGCACGAGACGATCATATCATTCCGTGAAATCTGCTTGTGTCATCAAAATTGATGGCATATATACTCTAGGGGCATCTCAGTTTGTTGCTTTGACAAATACAAGTAGCAGCGAACACCGACCCTGACAAGAAAGTCCAATAGTCCACTCTCGTTGGAATGGATTGCAATTGTCGGACAGACATATGAAATAACGATACACAAGGGAGGCCGTCAATCAACAGATCAATCTCTGTTGTGAAACTCTAAGCCGCATGTCTCTTCTGATACTGTAGCTAGTCGAGTATCACTACGTTATATTATGGCCAACGGAAGGACGTCCGACTTCCTGCCTCTTGGCGCATCTACCCATCGACCGACTCGTATTCACACTGTCAAACTAATAAAACAGTGATCACATCATCAACCTCTCATCCAAACAGCCCAATCCCTCTACGCTACCACCCCCTCCTCCTCCCCCTCCTCATGAACACCAATCTCCATACCTAGCAACCATCCCCTCCGACCTCACCGTCCAATTACACTCCTTAAAAATCCCCCCCCCTTCAAAACCCCCACATCACCATCCCCGTCCTCGCCACATCTTCCCACTCCAGCATTCTCCCGTCCCCGTCCCCCTCATTCCCCACAGAACCTGAAATCGCCTTTATTCTCGTCCTTGAGGGAAAGAGGCGGGGAAAGGGGGGCTGGGGGGAAACACCAGCCCCAGCGCTGGCGTCCGCGCGGCGTAGCTGGGTAGTTCTGCGAGTGAGTGTGCTAGGTTCTTGCAGATGGTGCTGTTAGACGGGAGGAGGTCAGGCGGGGAGGGGGAAAGGGGAAGGGGGGAAGGGGGAAGGGGGAAGGGGGCGGAGGAGTTGAGGGAGAGTGCGGGGCGTAGGTGTTAGGGTTGGGTTGGGTTGGGTGGTGTGTTAGTACTGTGGGGATGAAGGAGAAGGGGGAAAGGGGGGTAGGGGGCATGAGGAGGGTTAGGGAGAGCGGGGAAGATGTGATGTGTGAGCGTGCGCCAGTGGCGGGGGCGATAGTGACTTTGGCGTCTGGAAGGAGGGGGAGGGGTTCTAGACATTTTGGGAAGCTGAGGGGGCCAGGATGGTGGATAGGAGAGGAGGAAGATGGGATAAGGCGGAGTTGGTGTTGACACTGAGGTTTGAAGGTACGGTTGAGGGATTTGAGATGGCTATGGTCTTCAAGGGAAGGATTGCCCGCAATAGTGACAGCGGCGGCAGTTATGATTGAAGGGGCGACCTGAAGGCCAGGCATGGCAGTATTTGCGAACCAGATGCTTTAAGGAATTCGTGAGGTCATGTTGCAGCTTCCAGTAGCTGGTAAAGTACAAGTCAGGTGCGACGATCATAAATTCCAATGCAATCTTGCATCAAAGACCCAAATGATCAAATCCATACCTGCGTGTCCTGGTCGCGCAAGTCGCCTACTTCGACCCAAGTCAAGTGGAACAGCCTTCCTAGATGAACGAATTGTGAGATGGGCACAACCATGACTCGTCCTGTCGCCGATGATGATATAGCGCCAGCTTCATCGCATCGGGAATTTCTCGTGGTGATGGGGATGTGGCGGAGTAAGTCAACATAATGATGGCGACTTCCATTAAGAGCTGTTCTCAGCGCCTGTGGAGTTTGGCATCATCGATAATTCCGACATGGCTTTGAGATCGAGGCGGAGTCTTCGTGTAGTAGATAGATGGCTTGTGATTGAATCTTGCTTGGTGATGGACATGCGTCTGTATGCACAGGATTTTTAAAGTTCTCACCGTGATGAGGTTGGATGTGTGGGTGCGTTCTGTACATTCCTATCTATTGTGGATGTCAGGATCTCGTAATTCTTAAGGCATATATCCTTCGATATGTCTAGAGTAGATCTTTTCCGTACTGGTTTGATCGTCAGCTCAGTATTAGCATTGCATGTAGGAATCTACCTTTCCTGGATCTAGAGAAGAGGCTTGATTTTGACAAATCATACGCGGCTGGAGATCAAAAGGCTTCGATCTAAGGGGCGTGGCTTTGTGACTCATGCTAGATTGCTCACATGGTTCACGGTAAGCACGAAGCTTGTGTCTGCTTTCGTTGCTTATCTTGCTCTGTTCCAAGAGACCACTGACTCGGGTATTGATTGGGACCTTGGAAGGCGGCGGCTTGAGCTGCGACTGGTCTGGAGCTGGACGGCTCCATGACTATATGGGTGAGTCCCTGGGATGACGACTTGAAGTTGGATTCTCAAGCTCAGTGGCGGCTGGGCGTTGATATTGAACCGTTGTCTCCAGGTGGCATAACTTCGAGTTGTATTCCATGATTCGGAATCCTCGATGTAGTCGTCTGGCATATCTACCTAGTCGTCACCCATATCGGATTGGTCGTCTGACCCCTTGACTTTCACTGCAGGCTTGGCCGATTTTCCCCAGTGATCGACGACCTTCTGGCCATCAACGAAGCATGGGTGCTGATCATTATACATATGACAAGCGTTGGCGAAAGTATAATCATCGTCCGACCAAAATTCGCATTGGTGAATCTTTAGCTTTACTCCAGCTTCACTTACAAAACATGCGTAACAAGTTGCGTTGTGAAGGTCATGATCCAGAATCCGGTTGGTGCGAAACGCGAGTTCTATATCTGGGCATTGCGGGTCCGGTTCTCGGGCAAACATGAGAGGTCTTTCTCTTGGCCCTGGGTCGTCGTTTCTTGGATAATGATTTTCGAGCTTGCAATGTGCAAGAAATGCCTGCAATGGATTCGTGTGGTCGTGATTGAACGTCGTTTGGCAAGCCTCGGACACGCCAATTCCAGAGTCATTTCTATCGGGACTATAGTTCACCCACCCTTGGATGTTCATCGAGTCGAGGAATTGCAGTGTCTCATTCCCGTATTCATCCCCACAGTAGCATGGTAAGACTTTGTCACTGTTGTGTTTCTGGGTGAAGTCGTCGGGAGCTATGTGGGACATGCAGACTCCCAGGCCGCCATAACGCGTTGACTGTACCGGGTCTTGTGGTAAGAGATCCATCATAGTTGTTCCCATAGTAGCATCCTCGGTGGGATTGTAGCGCTCTCGTTGCCACGTATCAAATGAGATGTTTCGAATATCCGCAAGCGTGTAGTTGAATTGATTATTGTTGTCTTTCAGTGCATCCATCCCGTAAAGCTCTTGGTTCTTTGTCTTGACCGAATCTCGCCAACACTGATGCTGGCAGCCAATGCCCGGTTCGGGGTACCACCTGGAGTCCGCAATCTTGCCGTCTATATTGTTGAACTTTTTGTCACTACAATGAATGTGACAGCCTTGTGAACTCAAAGCAGCAATGATTGCTTGCCAGACAATGATCCTTTCGAGCATACTTAGCGTTGTTAGCGAAACATCAACGCGTCTGGAGCAGCAAAGACTTACTGTTTGATCTCGATCTCTTTCTCGTAGAGAAGGATTGTCATTTCCTCGGAAAGAATGAAGAACTCGCCGTTTTTAATGACTTGAGCAAGTCTAGTCCCAGAATCATCAAGTGTATCTACATCGACAGTGTGTTAGCTACGTCAATAAATACTCTGCGCTCCAGAGGTACTTGCTCAGACAGCTTTTACCGGCTGCAAAAACCGTCTTGGAGGATTGAGATGTAGGCGTTGTGTTCTCATGCCACGAAGGAATCCACCGACTCATCAATGGGATTATGAATTTCTGTCGCCATCACATTCGAAGCTAGTGATCTTGTCACGCTCCCAAAAGCGCCGAGTGAGACTCCCTTTTCTTACCCCCTGACATCGGACAGGACAGATCAATTCATTTACGTACCATTCTCTCCACTCCCTTGTCCATGAATTACCGCCCCCCACGAGTCCTCATAGCTCTTTTGGAGCTTTTCGATCCCTTTTGAAATATATCCGTCCAGGAATTTCGCGATATTCTCTTCTAGGTCGTCAGGAGGAGTTGGTTCTTTACAGATTGCACTTGCGAGATCGGCGCCGAAACCCTGATCTAGTCAGCATTGGATTTAACAAGGATACAAAGCTTGTACAAGCGTAATCAAATTGTTTGCGAGTGATGTTCCTACACCAGTCAGGAGACCTTTCCCTTTCTGCTGGAATCTCTGTTTCATCTTGTTTGGCCGCGGTTTCGGCTTAGGGCCTGGAGGCTCAGGCTCCGGGTGGGGACGGGGCTCGGGGTGTGGGTGAGGCTCAGGCTCGGGGTGTGGGTGAGGCTCGGGGTTTGGGTGAGGCTCGGGACCTGGGTGAGGCTCGGGTTTTGGATCATTCTCATGACCATCGTCACCGTCGTCTTTGTCTGTTTGTCTTCCCTCATCGTTGTCTAGATTGACTCCCTCTGTCTTGGCCTTGTCGTGACCGCTGGCGTCGAGATGACGCTTTTCCTTAGTTGCTGTGTCGGCGACATCCACAGCCAGCGGTACTCCAGCGGATGCAGCACTCGCAACTTGCGCGCCGACTTCCCCTACTTCCATGACGGGTAACGCGAATTCGAATGCGCCCGCACTCAAGGCTATACCCATGACCATGCCAAATTTTGCCCAAGCGGCCTTCATCTCACATTTTTTTTGGGCAGCTAAATCCGGAAGCCATCGGAAGGTTTCTGCGACCTGAGCGTTTGTGTGGGACATGATGCTATCAAGTTGTCCTGTGGCTTTCTGAGGGTTGTGAGCGAAGGATTTTCTGAATAGTCTTTTGTACACCAGAGGAGCAGTAAAGAGCAAAAACAGAGACTTACATGAATTGCCACAACAAAATCGCGTGCATTCTTCACGGATACTGTGACGAAGAAGACTCTCCTTGCAAGGTCTCTATCGCCTCCCTGATGTGCAATCGTAGTGTAGATATGATCGCAGTCTGGCATCTGGCATCCTGCATCTCCGAAGTCACATCTAGCAGGCTCAAGAAGATACAGAAAGTACTGCATGAAATAGTCCCAATGATTTGCAGCATCTCGGTATGCATCAGTAGTTCTATTGATATTCCGATCCCATTCAGTGAACCAGGCAGTGACGTTCGATTCCTCGATCCGCTGAGCATTTACCTTGAAATAGCTGTCTGGTTCGTTGCAAATTTTGTACACAGTGTCCGCTGATGAATTTTGGAAAAGAGCCGAGGGACCTTTCGGGAAAGCGCCAGGTTTCTTATCCTCTTGTAAGGTCGCGTTTAGCAGATACGCAGACTTGAATGCCAGGGTTGGCGAGGTGATCAAGCTGATCAAAGCAAGGATTGTGATGAAAAACATTTTCGCGAAGCAAGTCAACAAAGACTGGGATTCATGAAAATCAAAGCAAGTCAACAAACACTATGTTTCACGAAGAAGAAGAGATTGGAGACGAAGAGTGATACAAGATGAGCAAAGAAGTGAGCAAGGAGCGATGAGATATGAATCCAATAACTGCAAGAACAACCTGACTTACCCCACAATTCAATTCGAAAAGTGGAGCAACAGTCACCAAACAATCCGAATTCCAACTTCAAAATGGAAAGATGTGACCCAAGTCTTGCCTCTGGCTGAACCGAACAGATCCACATGACCCGTAACAGAGACTCGTTGAGAATTGGTTCTGAAATGAAAAACAGGACTTCGGATGAAAATACGAATTCGCCTCGTCATGAAGGAGACCTGCTTCCCAAAAATACTGATAGAAAAGACGGGAAATCCACATACCACAAGCTCATTGCGCAAGCGAAACTGAAAGTCTCGCTGCTTTGACGACAGAGGCAAGGATCAAAGGCATCTGTTCCTACCAGATCATCAACTTACGCAGCGCGCCAACTGACGCAGACCCGCTGCGTACTAACTGCTTTAGGTCGGCAGTGTTCACCGATAAGGGGCTCAGATGCCCCACAAGTGAGTCCAACGGTTCGTGAAGAACACGTGGTGTTATATATTTACCGAGTTCGGATCCTGAAAACGCCATTAGATCATCGGACGCACCTTAAGAGAGAAGTAAAGAGAGATGGCCCTAGGAAGGGAGATTGTATGAACAAGATTGTAAATAAAAATAAGCTGAAGAAGTGAATGCGCCATGCTGATACGTTGGGTTAAGTGTAGCTATTCGATTGGACCCTCTCCCAATGCAAGATATTGCCACAAGACTCGTATTTCCCAGTGGTGTGGAACGAGCATCAGCCAGGGTTGTCGACCTCGCTGGCATTGGGAACGCCACCTTCGACAAGGGAGCAAATTGAAGTCAGGCGATCAAAGACTGCTCCGAGTGTGGAAATGCTGGGCCACATTAGCAAATCGAAAACCGTTTCAGGCAAGTCCTAAGATTTAGTATGGGTCTGGCTAAATTCAAAGGCTTTTCCATGGCTAGAGTCGGCGCATGAAGCTTGCGACAGACCCACACCGTTGGTTGCCGAGATCAGACGGCGCACAAGGGAGTTTCGGTTAAAAAAAGCGCCATGGATCCAAGAGCTCGAGGATCTATGACCAAATCTCGGGAGTATTCCTCGAGGAATGTGTCCGCTGGATACCATACGCAGTGAACTGCGAGCAATTGAGAGGATAGCGAGTTCCTTGAATGTTGTTCTCAGCCAGCGCCCTCGTCTCCAGCAGTGAAGAAGAGTTGTCCCGGAAAACGTAATCTGTGAAAAGACCTACGAAATAAAGTCAAGAAACATCCTGTGTGACGACTGACGACACAATGCCCTTCGCAGTCTTATTGAGCGCAGCCCCATTCCTCCACGGCGGCGCCGTGATATCCGGAACATTATAGCACAAATTCGTCGCCACTATCGCACCCATCAGCCGCAACACTTACTCCAGCAAACACAGACTCACGATACAGAAAGACGGCCACATTCAGCGTAGTAGGCTCCTGCCTCGTAAAGACCGCCATATCGACATTAACGAAATCCCTCAGCTTCAAATCGATGTACTCGCCGCCATAGATCTGCACGGCCTTATGCAGCAGCGCCGTGCTCTGCGCCATGGGAAATTGGCCATTCACCGGATAATGGTTGAGAAGCATGGGCGGACACGCCGTCTCGCCATGAGGTTCTGGAAACGGAGGGAGGTGCCAGAAGGCGTCGCAGATGAATAAGGTGTCGTAGAAGGTCACGCCAATGATGGGAGTGTCGCCCCCGGATAGACAGCCAGTGTAAAGGAGCGGGAGGAAGGCTGGGTAGTCGTCCATTGTGTGTGAGTTGATGCATGCGATCTTAGCGGGGCTCAGTGCGGGTGAGCCGGGGATGGGGATTAGGTCTTGGACTTGATGCAAGATTTCGAAGATGATTGTCCGGGGCTTCGTGTTGCCTAAGGTGTCATCGTAGATGGGCGAAGTAATTGCGGGGTATGCTTGGTCGATTTGCAGAGTTGCGTCCAGCCAGGCGAAGGTTATGGTTTCCTTTTGCTGGTTGTCGCAATGCAGGATTTCGGGAATCGGATGGGTGATGTTGAGAATTTCTAAAATTCTTTCAACATTGCGCGACTTAATTTCAGTGATGATTGACCGACTTGCAGGGGCAGCGAAAGTCACTGCTCGATCGTTGAGGCTCGCGAGAAGTACGAAAAAGCCGACAAAGAGACGCATGTCGACAGGTTTAGGACTCGCCAGATTCGCCACAAAGAGCCATCTCAAGCCACGACCTGTACGGTCAAGCTTGCGCCAGCTTCATGGACCTGCTTTATCTTCTTTTTGTTGTGATAGTGTGCCTCTCGATGTGAATGTCATTTGACAGAAATGAATGTGAGTAATAAAAGGAATGTAAGTCCGCCATCGGTATTGGCGCTTATGCAGCACAAAAATGCATCTGTTGTCTCAGTCCATGAGACACAATCCTCAAAAAGGCGCGATATTGGCATTTTGTCCTAGACCTTCCCTCTCGGAGAAAGACATCGCCGCTCGCGGGAATGGCATGAAGGGTGGGGCGCAATAGGGATTGCAATACCAGTCTCACGGGTGTGGGTTGGTTCAGGAGGATGATTACTCTGAGGCCCATTCTTGACATATGCTTGAAGCTGTGAGCTCCTTGTCGTGCAAGTCATGCCGGGCGTAAGAAGGCGACATCTGCGCCCTCCAATGTGCACCGAGGGAAACCTCTCGTTCCGCAAGGCGATTGTAAGCTCATTGCGACTTCATGCAAATGATGTTGCCATGAAAACTCCGATACACCGACCGTTGAAGCTCACGGTAGATGTCACTGCTGAGAGATCAATAAAGGGCGAAAGTGTGAAAAGGTGACCACGGCTCCCAAGGCGTCCATTGTTTATTTTTTGATCAATTGTCCGGACAACAAGAGCTTAACCTCCTTGAGCCTAGCGTATAATCTTTATCATAGCAAGTCCAGAGGGATTGAAGGATTTCAGGCAGACTTGCAGTGGACAGCTATGGAAATACTCAGCCATGCGAGGCAGAGGCTGGCATTACTCATGTTAATAAATGTTTGATGTAAGCCACCCTCTAATATGAGGTCCACACTTCTCAATCGATGTCTCTGCGCATCAACTTGATATCGTCGTGAAAGCCCAAATTCGCCACCAATCTTCCTCAATGAGCTTTGACTTGATCGCTTTTCGAAAGTATCAGGGGAAGCTACCACCTCGTCACTTCAGTTTCCCAAAATGACTGCCCACACAGTAATTTTCAGCCTTCGCTTCATACAACTCTCCATCGTTCTCATCCTCATGCACTTATCATTGTTCATCGCATACATTGCCGTGTTCATCAGTCTGGGCTGGATGAGAGACACATTGGTCACGCTCTGGATTGTTGCACAATGCCTTGCCATCGCTAATCTCGTTGTTCTACTCGTCGAAATCATTCTGGCCCGGCGACACGATCTTGGGCCACATGGGTTCTTCGTCTTTCAAATTCTGAAGGTGGGACTGTGGCTCATAGTCACATCGTTGGCTACGGCAGCATTGGTGATTGCAAGATTGAGGTTTCGTTTTGACATTATTTTTCCGATCACTATGGGTATGATTGTCGGGTTGTAAGTGGTGCCATGATACTCGAATATGCTTCTTGAATAAGAGTATTGTCTTAAACCAATGCTGATTATTTAAGGCTCTTTTTCTTCGCAATTTGTTGGTATGCACTCTCACTACATGGCGATCCAGAGACTGCAGCGACAGAGATCGAGCATTCCGGCGGCGACACATCTGAGGCTGAAGTGGGAGAAAGAGAGCCACTACTGCCAGCATTTGGTGCACGCAGCGAGGTAGCGTGAAGAAAATCCACCGCATAGAAGTCAGCAAGCTCCCTTGCAGCGTACTCTTTTCGAGAATCCTCAAGTTCGTCATCACAAGACATACTCTTGTGAGTCCTAATGAGAGCAGTATGGCACCGACGAACGACTCATACCAATTCCGCTGAGCTTGCGCCCAATCTTACCTCTCTGCAACACGCTGAATAGTATATCAGTCACATTTTGAGTTCGAAGTATCGAAAATGCCTCTTAAAGGATCCGCGAAGCATGCGCGGACATTCTCATCTCGAGAAGGAACAGCGACAACTGTCGCCACAATATCTGCATTGAATGTGGGCGCAAAGGTGCCCCGTTGTGCGTCAAGAAATGCAGACCTGTATCTTCGAATGTATTGACACGGACCTGCTCCAAATCCTCGACCTCTCTCACTGAGCCCAATGCCAAACATGTCCACAGCATCGCTACCAGTTTTGTCAAAAATGTGCAAGCCAATGACAGACATCCCAACGTTCTCGCCGATAAAAGCACAGTCATCCAATGTGCTCGACTGGGAACACTGATCTGCCCCGAGAAATCTCGATCACCACTCTCTCATATGCACCAGAGAACACGATTGAAGACCTGCACACGCCTGAAGGTAGCAGAAAGTCTTACGCTTTCATGATCCCGCCGCTCCCGTGGCCTCAATATTCCGACTCTACGCAAAACTCGCCATTAGAAACGACAAGCACCTTTTCCACCAACCCCCTCCATTTTCTTGACCACACCCCTGACACAACAACAATACCAATCAACACGTCCGCAAAACATCTCAAGAGAAACAAGAAGCAAAGGCGCGGCAAACCTGAGGCAGACTCCCCAAGTTTCACGCCCCCCATGAAACACCTCCCCCAACTTCCCCATCGGCGCGCTTCACCAACACGTTCATCATCCCGCACCTCTGACGCCGTCAGGAAGGATCAGCCGCTAATGCGCGTAAATCCAACACCCCTGTCCTCTCTTCCTTTCTTATGCGACAAGACGGGCCAGGTTTTACGATTAGGTGGGATGAGGTAAGCAATGTCGTGGATTAGATGGTCGTTTAAGATGTGGGTGGCTTTGTTGATGGAGAAACAGTAAGAGGAGGGGAGGGGGGAAGACTTTTCTACAGCGGTGGCGGTGGTGGTGCTGGTGCTGGAGAGGATTCGCCGTGGTGTGCCGGTTGTGATATTTGTGGAATGCCAGATTGCTCAACTGGGGAGGAGGAAATGGTGGATCCAGCTTTAAGAGACGAGGTCTTCGTGCTGCGGGATTGAGAATTTCTACATGATTCCAGCCAGTGGGATTGGAATGGACTGTACGCTCCGGCTTTTGCAGGGGCATCCAACGGACGGTAATGTCATACTCGCAATTAGTAGATCAGGGGCGGTGGGGGTATAAAGTCAGTAGACTACTCGCCCTAGCATGGTATGAAAGGGAGTTCGTGCAGTTCAGCTCGTCCCAGGCGGAGGAATACATCGAGTGCACATAAAACGTATAAGGTATGTATCATTAGAGAATATAATCTTCCTCAGCTATCGAAGCCATGGGAAACCCCCAAGCATGCCTTGTAGCAAGCTATGCCGCCCAAATACCACGCAACGCAATGCAACGCAACGCTATGCCAGTCCAATCCACCCCATCCCACCCCACCCCACCACGTCTCCCCTCTCCTCCACCCTCAAAATTACGAAGTACAAACAAGCCCCCCCGCCCCCCATGAATAGCCGCGCCCCCCGCATTTTGACAATGCACCGGACCCGGACTAGCCGTCGGCGTCGCATAAGTCGGCACCGTGCTCGCATCGGCGGGATCCGGATTCGTCGGATATCCGCCATGAACGGAACCACCACCAAGGTTCGGCGCGCAGTATTGTTTGAAAGGACAAGGATGGACATCCACAGGGCAGGCGCCAGAGCACTCCCTCTGCATAGGCAGATGCGAGATGCAGCTGAGATCGAGGACGCCCTTGTCAATATCGACGTCGACGAGCTGGTTATCTGCTGTCCGGCCCGTGAGCGTGCAGTTGTATGCGCCGTCGAACATCCAGGGGAGGTCGCCCCAGCGGTTCGACACGATGGACGACATGAGCTCGCTGGGGGTTTTTATGTTGAGGGAGTCCGGGTCGCCGTATTTGTTCCAGAGGCGATAGACGCGGCCTGAGACGGGCGACCAGTACATGTCTGGCTTTGCGTCCTTGGGTGTACTGCAGCCGTGGATGGTGGCTGGAGTGGTGCAATTGGGGGTTGGATGGTAGTTGTTCCATTGGTCCTCGGTCATGATGGTGTTGGGGAAGTTGGGGGTGGCGTACCAGCCGTTCTGGCCCATGGATTCGGAGGTCAGGTAGGTGCGGAGGGCGAGGTCGATGGTGTCTTTTTGTTCGACGAGGTCGGTGGTCGTATTGCCGCAGTATCCGCCGCCTTTGGCAAAGTCGACGAAGGATGTAGGGTCCAGCATTAATAGTTTGAGGCCGTTGTTGAGGATGTCTTGGTATTGAGAGGTTGCGGAGTCGAGTTGGGTTTCTAGCTGGCCGATCTGGAAAAGGCTGGATGCAGTGTCTCCCTGTGGCCACATTGTCTTTGCGACACCGGGCGCATTACCGAGACTGATCGACCAGATTGAGGCTTGCTGCTTGAGGACGGTACTTTGGATGCCTTCGATCGCACTTGCACCCAGAGCAGGCGCCTGAAAAGGTTTGTTAGAATGTACGGTACACTGAAGATGGCGGAAGCGACTTACCACAAGGAAAGACAGTCCAAGAGTGAATGCGCTAAGCACTAGCTGCATCAAGAGATTGGTCTTCTTTTGCGGGTCGATGGTCAGTGTCATAGACGTTATGATGGTGCTTGCAGGAGCAATGCTGTCGGTGAGGGCTGGAAAGCATGATCAGTATGGCTCTCAAGTGACGAAGTTTCGACGTACCTGAGAAGTATTTTGTGAAGAAGTTGTGGAGCTCAAAAATAGTCTTCGTGACATATTTCACCTTCCCACGAATGCTGAGAGCGAGCCCGTCCGATATCTTCTTGTCCCATGTACAGTCCTCGCCATCGATGGTCAGGCAGCTGTAGTCGGCTCTCCCCGTTGCAAGCCTTAGAAAGCAGGTGGTCCACGGTTCTCCGGACAGACAACATATTCTTGTGTCATCGCAAACCTGTGTTGTTACGTTCCATCCTGTGACTGGGTTGAGGAGGTAGTCGTCTAGATCGAGTATATCCCAGCAAGCCCCGTCAAGCACTGCGGCAGGGTCACCCGAACAGGCAAATGGGACACCTGGCTCTTGCTGGCGTGGCTCGAGTGGATCTATGAGGGTAGGTGCGGTATTCGTACAGTGAATTATCAACGCAAGGGCAAGTATTCGAAGCTTGCTCACACGGAGAGACGCAGCTATGGATATTGTTGACAAAAACATGACGAAAAATCAAGGAGAGGCCGCATCGAATCATGTAGTAGGTAATGTAGGGAAACACAATGGAAGGAAACCCGCATTGTAGAATGTACGATGTTTCACCGCTTGCAATTTCGAGGCGGAATTACGAGTTCGGAACCGGCAGTACTTATGATCCAAGGATCGATCGACGAGGCCACTTACGTATTATAGGCGGCGTACCGTAAATAGACAAAATGCCGTTACCCCACAGCACCGCCTTCGACGGCAGAGGTTCCGAGAGTGGCTGGCGTGGGAGGTATCAGCTACTACCGAGCAGATTTACTACGTCAGAAGGATGGCGCGGCCAAGTCAGCTGTTGCCAAAAGGCGAAGTCGGGTCAATAGAGAGTGCGCGCTTAAACAATGGTGCCGTAAGCATGTTTGGCGATATATCGCTTGAGTTGGCGCTAGAGCTGACCCGACGGCCAGGGCCCGTAGATTTGTCTCATTCGTAAATCTCCGCTCCTCTCTGACACGGTTTTACACGCGAGTAATCCTTGGTTCCCCAGGGTGTCAGTGATTGACGTCACTCGATCCTCATGGAAAATGGACTGTTTCGGTGAGGCTCTAGGTGCAACAAGATTTGCTTAGACATGTCAGACCAGGAGATATGGTCTCTTCCGTCTTCGGCCAGCAGTGAGATAGCATCTTGGAAGGTTTCAGTACCGCAATCAGAGAGAAAGAACATTGGGAGAGTAGTTTTCGAAGAACGCGAGGGCCAAAATGTGGTATGATTCACTGATGTTTGTTTCCAGCCACCTCCACGATACCTCAGTATGTCGCTTAAGTGAACCTTCGACCATCGTATTCCGGATACTTTAGCGGCAGATCTCCCTATTGGTATGCAACTAGCTCTTCAGACCCCGGAGAAGTCGCGTGGAGATAGTTCAAACTTGGCGTTTGCTTATGACGCTTTCGGGATTTGTTCATACAACTACATGGAGCATCGAGTAAATCGCCCCGGAGACGAAAAGGCAAATCCGACTTTGCCTATTGCCTAGAGAAGCGATTCAACGCTTACTTCGTAGAGCAGTCATAGAATGAGACTTGAAGTGTATCTTATAAGATGAGGTCTAGGTTTCATCCTTTCTTTGGCTTCTTCTTAGCGGCAGTCTGGGTCGATGCTTCGGGAGTAATTGGCTCGACGCCAGCCTCGGCTTGTTCCGATGCTGGAACATGGTCGTCGAGACGGTGTGAGAGTCTAGAGGGTTCTGTAGCCTTCTCTTTCTCTGTGTGATCTGCTTTCTTTTCAAGATCGAAATCATCCGGTAAGGCGTCAATTACTTCTCGTATCTTCCCTAGCAAAGACAGCCCGTGTTTGTAGACTTCGATCGTAAAGTTGTAAGTCGTCCATCTATGCTTTCCATTCCGCGCTCTTATGCTTAGGATGTCCACCAAATGGCGATGGATGTTGTAGTTGGTCCCTTCAAAGACGGGGATAATAGCCGTGAATGCGGATGCCATCATCGTCATGCGATATTGAGAAAGTCAGGAGTTCGCGCTCTTTCCTTGCCAGCTTGAAGAGCTCGACAATGCCCCGCACTGCCAATGTCATACTATGGGCGTTTTGGCGATCGGCGATCGCAAGTCCGGACGCACCGCATTTCACCTCGTTTGTCAGGAAGGGAAACTGCATGTAGTAGATACCCACGAAGTAAGAGAAATGCATGACCTCCGCAATTCCAGGTTGCAGTTTACGGATCTGATCGTCACTAAAAGCTGATCTGTTAAAGCCTACAGCATAATCGGGTTGTGGGCATAGAGTTGGTCCAAGCCTCGTTGACACTTTCGACTAGGACATTGAATTGTTTCATACCCCGTAAAGCAAGCGTCTCTGCGGATGACACCAGAAGTCGGGCTATATCCTGCGTAACTCTGGCCTCATTTTTGCCGCTCAGCCTCTGGCAGGCCTCTTTGAACAAATCATCTTCGAAGATTGTGTCACTAGGTGGCATATGGGTTGTCTCGAGGAGTCTTGTACATAATCTTTCACTGCTGTCTGAAATGCCTAGCTCGTGGTTGTCGCCATAAAACCCGCCCTTTGTCTCTAGCATTTACTGATATCCTGGGTTTCTGTACTGAACGCTCTTATCCTGCACTGAGTTCTCTTCACCTGCATTGGACTCGTTGAGGCTTGACTCTAACCGCTTACGCAGGAGGGAGGCAAGAGATTTCTTCATGACAAGTGGTGCTGTCATGGCCGCCTACTGGAGATATTCTGTTGGCCACCTCTTGTTTCCCGCCCAATGGCCTATGTAGGTCCGCTGAGAGTCTGAACTGCCGCTTGCGTCCTCTTTCTCCGGATTCAGTTTATCTAATAAGGCCTTTGAGGGGACTCGAGCTGCCGTTTCACTGAGCCTAAGCTGGTCGGAGAAGGTAGATGAAGGTGGACGGTCTGATCTTGGTACCTCTATTTCGGCACTATGCCCGCTAAATGCGACAGGCATAAGACACGGATTGAGATTTACAGGCCCATTTTCCAAGCTCTGCGTTTGAAGTATGGTGGAGGTGGAAGCCAGGAACGTTTTGCGGTCGCAGGTTCACGTGTCCGCTCGTCCTGGGCACCAACTATAGGAGGCCGCGGCCTTTTAGGTGCCTGCTCTTCAAATACACACGACTCTACGCGCCGCTTACGGCCCTGTGCTGTAGGAATGGGTGTTGGGGCTTCGCTGCTCTGCTGCTGGGTTAGCGAAAACCATTGGGGATCTCTGATTCAATGTACCTTGTCTGTTGCTACCGTAGACTCCTCTGACCCGGTAAACTCAGGCTTCCTGAGGCGTGCGCTTCTTTGCACTCGATCCACGGCCGTCGCGTAGCGTTTCTGCTGCGAATTCCCTGCGGAGTTGGTCAGAAGTGATAGTACACAGGATTGCCTTTGGGCACAAGATCGCACCTTTCTGTACCGGAGCCGAACGAGCGACATGGCCTCTGGGTTTCGCGCGGCGGCTAGCCACTACACAGCAATGTAGCTGCGCCTTTGACCCATTGAGTTGAGTTGAACGTGAGGAGGAAGGACGAGGGGGAGATGAATCGATGCTGATGAATTTGTTACTCTAGGCGTGCCATTAGCGTGTGATGGATAAAATTAATTCCTTAGCATGAAAAATCTTCCACACCCCTATACTATTTTATATGGGTTTATTGAACTCCTACCACTAACAACCCTTTAAATACCTTAAAAAATAATATAATTCTTAAAATTATATTATATAAGCTAATTATAATATTATTAGCTAGTATAGTATTCTTATTCTAGGATTACTATTAGCTTAATTTCTTTACTAAGTATAAAGTAAAAAAGCTTTTTAAATCTCGCTAGCGCCTTTAAACAATAATAAAAGAAATCTATATTTCTATTATCTAAGCTTATAAGCTAAAATAATAAGTATAAATATATAATACTACTTATCTATTATATTATATCTATTTTAGTTCTTTAAAGAATATTTACCTTATTATATACTAAAGCTTTTTTTTTATTAGTAATATTATTTTTATTTTTTCTAAACTAAGTTAGCTAACTTTCTTTATTATAAATAAGATATAGATATTAGTTATTCTTTTATTAGTAAAATTTTAAAAAGCTTAATATTATTTAAAAAAATAATAATAGCTTAGATTATATAGTAATTAATTATAAATAAAATAGTAAATATAAATAAACTATTATATTATTAAGTAACTTATTTTTATTAATAAGTTATTATTTAATTTATTAACTATTTAATAATTTATAGCCTATAGTCTATTAAAGTCCTTAGCTTAATAATAAAATAATTATCTATAATATAGTAATACTTATAATATCTTATTTATATATACTATAAATAGCTATCTATTTTATATTAGTATTTAAAAAGGTTATTATAATATAGATACTTTTTTTTAAGTAAGTAGAATATAAGTTTTTATTATATTATAACTTATTTCCTAGTTTTTATAATATAATTTATTTAGATAATAATAATATATATATAAACTATTAGCTTAAAAATCTAATAAAAAATAAAAAAATATATATTTGCTTTTTACTACCCTACTCTTTTAATTATAACTTAATTAAGCTAATATTTAATATTTTAAAAGCATAAATAAAATAATATTTCTAATAACTATATAATTTATTTTTATATAACTTCTATAGTTTTTTAGTTTTTATAATAAAAAAGAACTAATATAACTATTTTATAGTTGAGTATTTTTATTATTATATAAATAGCTATTTATTTAATAATAATTTTAATTAATTTAAAAAAGAGTTTAAAGATTTTATATAATATAATAATATTAAGTAATAATTTATATTATAGAAATTATTTTTATTTACTAGCAGCTATATCTATAAGTATTTAACTAGCTTATATATTTCGCTAGCGTTAAATCTTTTTAAATTTATAAAGTTAACTATATAGTTATTAAAGAATATTATTTAAAATACTTTTTCCCTTTATTATTTTATATAATTTAAACTTAAATAATAATATTTAATATAAACACTAGCTATTCTAGAACTAAGTGTTACAACCTTACGCAATAGGCGTAACTAGGTAACTACTATAAAATAAGGACTATAGCTATACTAGGTTATAAGGGAAAAAAACTAAAAAAAGGAAAAGATAGCTAAAGTACTTAAGTATACTTAAGCGCTAAAAGCATTAAATAACTTCTAGATTAAGTAAGCTTAAAATAATTAAAAGTTAAATATTATTAAGTAAGTTAAGCAAAGTTATATATATAAAATCTTTTATTCTTTTTTTAAATAGATTTTTTTATATTTAATATAAATTTTATTTTTTACTATAAAATCTAAAATAATTATAATTTTATTTTATTTCACTATTTTGCTTTTATTTATTTTTTAACCGCTATTTATATTCTAGGAGAACTAACTTACTAACCTATAATTAAATTAACTAATATTATTTATTAATTTAAATACTAAAGTCGCAATATATTAAATATTTTTAAAATAAATATAACTAAATCTATATTAAATAGGCAATGTTTTTAGTAAAAGTATATAATATGTTAACTAACTGCTACTGAAAAAAAATAAAACTAAACTTTTAAAATTTAACCTTTTTAATAAAGAAAAAAATAAGCTTAATAACTAGTTATTCTAGTTAGATTTCTACTTTAAATTAATATTTAATATTAAAGGTAAAATTAAAATAGCTTTTATAGTAATGTATATAAAAAATAAAATACTATTATAAATTAATTTAGACTTTAAAAAATATATAAATAAAACTACTAATATAGAAACTTGCAAATAAATTAAAAACTATTCTAAATTTAAAAAATAAATCTAATAAGTATTCGGACCTACTAATAAGGAATAGTATACTAAATTAGTAATATAATAACTATAATAAACTAAAAAAATAGCTAATTATGCAACTATCTTCTAGTATTATATAGCAATAATAAAATAAAATAATAAAACTTAAATATTTATATTTAAATAAAAATTAAAAGATAATGTCTAAAACAAATTTATATAATATAGTAGAGAAATTGAAAACACTAATAATTTTATAAAAATAATAATTAAAATTAATAATAAGCTATATTAATAATATATAAAGCGAAACAAATAATAAAAATAATATATAAAACAAGTTATTATAGGATATAATAATAATATAATAAAATACTAAAAACGCTATAACTATAAAATAAAATAGCTAAAAAGTGCTAATCTACAAAATAACTTTATAGAGCTAAATATATTAATACTATAATATAATAATAAAGGTAATTATAGGAAGCCTAACTAAAAAAAGTATTATAAATATAATAAAATAAAATATATTATATACAACTATTAGTTGAAAAACTAAATATAAAAATAATTAAATATTTTATAAAAACTTTTATTATTATATTTATTATTAATTGATAATAGGGAAGCTAAAAACTTAGTAAGTAATATAAACTTAAATATATTATTTTTTATAAAAATAGATAATAATGCCTAAAAATAAACACTAATTAAATATAAAGAATAAAAATAAATTAATATAATAAATAAAATTTTATAAAAAATAAAAGAAGTATTTAAACTACTTAATATAAACTTTAATAAAATAATAAAGTAATTTGAACAAAGATAATAAATATATAAATAATATAATTATAAATAAAAATACTTTAAAAATAAACTATAAAATCTTTTTAACAAACTAGGATAATATAAAAATATAGAATTAAAAGATAATAATAAACAACTTTTTAGAAAAATATTATATTATTATATCGACTTTTAGCTTAAACACTAGGTAAATAATATTATATATATACCGGAAAACAAAATTTTTAAAATAATAATATAATAAATTATTTATTAAAAACCTTGCGAAAAAACTATATAAACTAATTATATAATCGACTAATATACATTTTATTTAATTAATAAATATAAAAATAAGTTTTTTTTAAAATATAGAAACGAATAATATAAGTTATATTACTAATCTCTAATAAAAAAACTAAAAAATAGAATATACTTATTATATATTTTATAAAGAGAAGACTAGCCTTTAATATAGCAATAGAACCCTATATAGTAATACTATAAAAGTATATTATATAAAATATATTAAAATAAGACATTATAATAGAAAATACTACCTAAAGCAATAATTAACAATTTTAGCGAGGCGCAAAATACTAAAAAATATAACTTATATATTGTAATAAATATATAGTTTAATAATATATTAATAACTATATTTATAAATATAAAAGTAAAAAGAAACTATATTTTAGAATAAAAAATATAAGAAGTATAAATTAAAATATAAACGATAAATAAACTATATATAATTATAATAGTTATAGAAAATATAATAGGGACTAACCTAATTATAAAAGAAATTATATAAATAATAATAGTTATTTAATAGTATAATAAAAGTATAATATTTAATGTATTTAAAATAGCTATTTATAACGTTATACTAAGGATATTTTAGTTGAAAAAGCAGAACTTAATTATTAATTAGCTACTTAAAAAACTAAAATTTAAAAATAAGCTTATTATTAAAATTTAGAAACTTAAGTAGTTTATAAATATAACTTTAAATAAAAAAATCTAATAAAATATTATAAATATTTATATATTTTAGATTTTAAAAAATAAGCGGCTAAGCAGTACACTAATTTTAGCAAATATAGAAAAAGGGTTAATCGATTACAAAGCTAGAAAAAAAGTACTAACAAAGCTTTTATACTATAAAAATATAGAAAATAGATATATTTTTTTAAAAAAAAAAAAAAAAGAAGTATTATTATTATATTAATTTTAGGATTATTAGATTAAGTTAATTAATAATAAGTAACTAATATTTAAATTTATATATTAATTATTAGAAATAGAATTAAAAGCTTTAAATAAATACTTAAAAAAAACTTTATAAAAAAATTTATAAAATTATTATTTTTTTTAATTAAATACCTAATTCTTTTTATTTTAAAAAAGAATAGTAAACTATAATTATATATAGACTATAGGAAATTTAATAAAATTATAATAAAAAATTAGTACTTATTACCGAATATAAATAAACTTAAAAATCGACTATAAAAAGCAGAATAGTTTTCAAAACTTAATATATATAAAGTATATAACCTAATATAAATAGCTAAAAACTATAAATAGAAAATAGCTTTTAGAATAAAATATAAATTATATAAATATATAGTTATGCTTTTTAGATTAATTAACATATTAGTATTATACTAGGAACTAGTTAATAATATTTTAAAGAACCTATTAAACTAATATATTATTATATACTTAGATAATATATTAATATTCTTAAAAACAATATAATAATATATAGAAAATATTAAAAAAAACATTTATATATTTAATAAAAGTAAACTTTAAGTTTAAACTAACAAAGTACAAATTCTATA